GCTAGCTGACGACCGCCAGCTAGCTGACGACCGCCAGCTAGCTGACGACCGCCAGCTAGCTGACGACCGCCAGCTACGACCCCCCCCCCCAAAAAAGACCCCCCAAAAAAAACCCCCCCAAAAAAAAAAGACCCCCCCCCCCCAAAAAAAATAGACCCCCCCAAAAAAAAAGACCCCCCCCCCCAAAGGGGCTCCATTACAGTTTTTTCCTACACTCAGCTGCTCCCCCTCACCATAGGCCCTTTTTCAAGTTTTTTTTTAGGAATCCATTGACATATTGTGGTTTGGAACCCTTTCCCATACATCAACAACACCAACAATAATTATTTTATCACACCAAACTATGAGTGAGATGAAAATGGGTTCTAACATCAGTTTTTCTTTTTCAAAGATTTATATAAAAAAAATTAAAAAAAGCACTAGCTGGGAGTCGAACCCGATACCTTCCAGTTGCCAGGCGTTTGCCTATCCACTAGACTAATGTGTCACACTGGTAATCTTCATGTATTTTTTCATATTGATACTTATTTTTGTAGATGTAGCAAAAAACGTATTCTAACTAATTCAGAGAGTCGCTTGTTAAAGAAAGAGTATCAAATGTTATTTTCTCCTTTGTTGAGGAGGTGGGGGGGTGTCCCCTTTAAAAAAGGAGATGGACACGTCAATATCATGGGGTAAAGAAAAAAAAATAAAAAAATAACATGAGGTATAAAGAAGAAGCTGGGAGTCGAACCCGAGTACATACATACATTGCGTTGTGAAGCGATCAGTCTTATCCGCAAGACCACTTTGCCTCACTGCTACTAAGTGGCTCACTTCTTGGTCTTATAGCACTTTCTGCATGTTAACGACTTTAATATGTTGATTTACTGATTTAACGATTTCGGGATGCATAATTATTCATATTTTTGCAGTCCGATGTTGTCAAGATTGCCCGTAAATGTTTTCTTTCAGTTACTGATATTTCTGATATAATAGTGAGGTTTTATGTTATTTTCATTTATTTTGCAATCTGCTGACTTAAACTTCAAGTGATATGACAATAGGCCACTGCCCTGACATAGCATAATGAACAGAACACGGATCTATTCAATTTAGGATATGCTACGAATTCTGTAACAGGGCACAAATGAATAGGGAAGCTTGGCTATTCGATTCTGTGTTCAATAGCTTGCACCTGCAGCATCAATTAATGAATTGAAGAAAAAAAACCGACCCTCCCTTCATTGACGGAATATTTTTGTCAATTGCGAGGATTACATAAGAGGTAATAATAGCATTCATGAAATTGCAACAATGACCGCATTATGTTGATGTATTGTCCATAAAGGTACTGAGAAAGTCTTTCTCCTTGTCTGCATGGAGGACACGCACTTTAAATATCCCAATAGAAAAAGGATAGAATGGGGCTGTAGTCTCATTTTAAAAAAAGGAAAGCGATTTCGGGACAGTTCAAAATAATGCTGGGAAATGGAAATTAAAATGATACCGTTTTAAAAACCAGTTAGATATGGTTTAAGGACAAGAAGCATGAGATAATTCATTGCTCGGCAATCTGGACTGTATTTGAAACAGAGCATCCAATATTCCTGATATTTAATAGTATACTGTAAATGAAAAAATATAACTAAACAAAATAATAATAATGGACCTCTTTACCCAAGGCTGTGTGTCTTTGTCGAGCACAAAATGATTCTGCTCGGGTATGCAGGCCAGTTGTTAGCCCATATTGGGCTTGAATAGACTTGAATTGAAAGACCCTTTGTTTCACCTCGCGAAGTTTGGGCGCTTTCATATGAGGAGTAAAACCTTGCCCATCATTGAATTCATGTTGTAAAGTTGTTTACAGACTGCAAAAGGATAGCATGGGAGTGTACAGATTGAATAAATGGATGTAAGTAGTACTGAAAATGTAAAAAACTTGTTTAACCTGGCAATAAGGGACTCTTGAATGTAGTTTAAAAATTGGACATGGCTTTGGGGCTAACGCTACCGGCCACCGGCTACGCTGACGACCGCCAGCTAGCTGACGACCGCCGGCTACGCTGACGACCGCCAGCTAGCTGACGACCGCCAGCTAAAAAAAGACCCCCCCCCCCCAAAAAAAAAAGACTCCCCCCCAAAAAAGACCCCCCCCAAAAAAATAGACCCCCCCCCCCCAAAAGAAAAGACCCCCCCCCCCCCCCCCCCCCCCCAAAGGGGGCTCATTACAGTTTTTTCCTACACTCAGCTGCTCCCCCTCACCATAGGCCCTTTTTCAAGTTTTTTTTTAGGAATCCATTGACATATTGTGGTTTACAGACTGGAAAAGGATAGCATGGGAGTGTACAGATTGAATAAATGGATGTAAGTAGTACTGAAAATGTAAAAACTTGTTTAACCTGGCAATAAGGACTCTTGAATGTAGTTTAAAAATTGGACATGGCTTTGGGGCTAACGCTACCGGCCACCGGCTACGCTGACGACCGCCAGCTAGCTGGACGAGCTGGACGACCGCCAGCTAAAAAAAGACCCCCCCCCCAAAAAAAAGACCCCCCCCCCCCAAAAAAAGACCCCCCCCCAAAAAAAAAAAAAAAATAGACCCCCCCCCCCCCAAAAAAAGACCCCCCCCCCCCCCAAAGGGGCTCCATTACAGTTTTTTCCTACACTCAGCTGCTCCCCCTCACCATAGGCCATTTTTCAAGTTTTTTTTTGAGGAATCCATTGACATATTGTGGTTTGGAACCCTTTCCCATACATCAACAACACCAACAATAATTATTTTATCACACCAAACTATGAGTGAGATGAAAATGGGTTCTAACATCAGTTTTTCTTTTTCAAAGATTTATATAAAATTTTTTAAAAAAAACACTCGCTGGGAGTCGAACCCGATACCTTCCAGTTGCCAGGCGTTTGCCTATCCACTAGACTAATGTGTCACACTGGTAATCTTCATGTATTTTTTCATATTGATACTTATTTTTGTAGATGTAGCAAAAAACGTATTCTAACTAATTCAGAGAAATTAAAAAAAAAAAGACCCCCCAAAGGGGCTCCCTAACAGGGGTTGTCAGCTAGCTGACGACCGCCAGCTAGCTGACGACCTCCAAGAAAAAAAAAGAAAAAAAAGACCCCCCCCCCCCCAAAAAAAAAAAAAAAAAAAAAAGACCCCCCAAAGGGGCTCCCTAACAGCTTTTTCCTACACTCAGCTGCTCCCCCTTCACCATAGGCCCTTTTTCAAGTTTTTTTGAGGAATCCATTGACATATTGTGCATTGGAACCCTTTCCCATACATCAACAATCAACAACACCAACAATAATTATTTTATCACACCAAAATTGGAAAAATGATTAACTTTTAATATCTGGCTTTCGGGCTTTAAAACAAAATACACTAGCTGGGGATCGAACCTGATACCTTCCATTTACTAGGCGGTTGCTTATCCACGAGACCACTTTGCCTCACTACGATTACCTGGTTCACTTTTAGTATTTAACACTGTGCTTTTAGTTGTTAACACTTTCAGCTAGCTGACGGCAGGCGCAGCTATACCCCCTAAAGGCAGACGCGGATCCAGGGCGCCGGGAGGGCCTTGCCCCCCCCCCCCCCCCCCGCAAAAAAAAGAGAGAGAGAGAGGAAAAGAAGGGAAAGGGAAAGAGGAGAGAAAGGGAAAGAAAGAAGAGGAAGAGGAAGAAGAAGGGAAAAAAAGGGGGAGAAGCAGATCAAGGGCCGAAAGGGTCTTGGATCCCAGCTGTCACCCCCCCCCCCCCCCCCCCCCCATTACAAAATAAGAGAGAATGATGAAAAGGGAAAGAAAAAGGAAAAGAAGAGATAAAGGGAGGTAAAAACGGAAGAAGAAAAGAAAAGAAGCGGGATATCAGTTTTGCCGCCAACAAGTTGTAGTTCAGAGAGTTAAAGGCCCTAGACCCTACGCCAATAAACGCTACGCTCTGCCTTATCGTAAATACCACTCCCCCAACCTACTTAGAGAAACGTTCAGCGAGGCCTGCATAAAAAGTGGGTGGTGCGTTTTTTTTTTTCTACCCCCCCCCCAAACGTTTTTGCTTATTTCGCCACTGCCGGTGTCACCATTACGTACCAATATTTGGCTAGCATAATTTCAAATACATTGACATATTGTGCATTGGAACCCCATTGGAACCCTTTCCCATACATCAACAATCAACAACACCAACAATAATTATTTTGTCACACCTAAATTGGAAAAAATGATTAACTTTTAATATCTGGCTTTTTTTGCTTTAAAGAAAAAATGTAACTGATCTCCCCTACCTTTCTTCTTCCTCTCCCCCCCCCCCCCCATACTTCTCTCACCCTCTCTCATTTAAGTTTGGTGAGGGAGGCAGGGGCCTTTCGCCCCCTCCCCCGATCCACACGATGTTGATGGGATTAATCGCAACTGATCTCTGCTTCTTTTCACCCTTTTCTTTTTTCTACCTCTTTTGTGTTCCATTTTAGCTCTCCTCTTTCCCTTTCCTTTCTCTCTCTTTTTTTTTTTTTTTGGCGAGAAGGGGGGGGGGGGGTTGGTCTGGGGCAAAGGCAAAGGCCTTTTTTCCGCGATCTTGGGGGGGGGGGGGGGTAGTGAGCACCTTTTTTGGGGGGGGCCCTCGAAATTTTAACAATTTGCACCCTCCCCCCCCCCCCCCCCCCCCCCATCCCCCTACTAGATCCGCCACTGCCTGTAGTTTCATCCCTAGCTAGCTGGTTAAGCTGAATATGGGTTATCTAGTCGTTTCATTCATTAAGTATAATTATACATGTATCAGGGATATGAGAGTACATCCCTGTTTGTTTTGACTATGTATACGTGTGGACTAGAGTACGGACATTCGGTGCGGCAGGAGGACTATTGGTGCGAGACCTCTTCAGCACAGATTGTCCGTCAGACATTTGAGGCGCGCACGGAATGTCCGACACGGACATTCTGCGCGGATAAAATCCGCACCGATCGTCCGCTCTCGATCGATCTCTAATAGTCGGACGATCGGTGCGGGTTACATTCTACGCGGTCACACCAGCCGTCAGCCCATCTACCCATTCCATGTCAACATAGAGTCTACAGTGGAACCTGTACCTGCGACAGTTCCGATATCTGCATGTTTTTCTACTGTACGCAAGCCACCCGAGCACCAATTTCGATGGCAGTTTAGATTTGGTATTTTAGCTAATATTAGGTATGGACATTAACTGCTTTTTGAATGATGAGTGACAAACATTGCCAAATGCTTTGTAGATCTACATATATTTTTTATTAATACAAGTCCCACGTGCTGTATTTCGTGATGTATAACGAGGCCCTAATGTAGACTAAAGGCAAAGCACTTCTAAAAGAATAGACTGTAATTAACTTACTCAATCGAATGTTTCTGTACTGTATATGCATATTAGGCCTACGCAAGTATTAATAGCCCATAATAGTCAATACCATTATATAAGTACAAACCATCATTCTATTACTTCTATTGGCATCGCTTAGTGTTGTCACCATTTTTAGGCCTGCCTAAACTAAAGAGTTTTTGAATTTATCGCTGGCCTGCCTGTGTTGCATGGGAATGGCATTTATCTACTTCTTCTTCTGTTGAATGAACTAGGCCACCATGTTGTTGGTTTATCTTCATACTTTTTAAGTTGTTCAGATAGTCTATAGAGTAAAACCGCCAAACTTCGGACGTTGCCAAACTTCGGACAAAAATGACTTCAACGGCTCGAACGCAAAATATGAGCCTAGCTGCATGCATGCATGCATGCATTTGATACTACTACTAACCTATATCGTTAGTACAAAAAGTTAGGGCAGGTTGCCGTCTGCAAAACTCACAAAAAACATCGAATTCAGAGACAGATTTCAGGTTACCTAGATTTTTACAGTTCCTTAACAGGGGAGTTAAGGTGTAGAGCCTCCAATATATCGATTACAAACAAATCCTTGGCATATTTCAGGTGGTTTCTGCCAAAATTATGGGAGCTTATGAGATACTTTTTCACTCTATCGCGAAAATTTTCTAATGGCGGCCGTTACCACGGACCTAGGGGTACTAGATAGATTCCCCTACCAGAAGATGGCGCTCTTCCAAACTTCGGACAGGCAACATTGGGTGTCATTTTGACTACGAAAAAATAGCGCTTTCGTAAGATTTCAGTACCAAAATATTGTACGAGTGTTGTGAAAAACACCTTTCCGATAGTTCTACCTAACTTAAATCTACCCAAAACGAGAAAATAATATTTTTTTTCATGAAATCAACGCAGTCAAACTTACCCCCGTCGTACGATTTTGATCCGGTTTCCAAACCTCCGATGAATGCGCACTTTAGCGCGCGCGCTGTACGTGCGATATACGTGCGCTATGCGCTATACGTGCACTATACGTGCGCTGAACATGAACGTCCGAAGCTTGGCAAGTGCCTCCGAAGCTTGGCATAAAAACAGGTTCAGCGGGTAAGTAAATAATTCTAGTTTTCCATTTCCTTTAGTAATTTTCTTTTACATGATATACATAAACAGTATTTGTACAATAATAGTATGTTTGATCTTTCAATAATTAAAAAAAGAATTTAATGTTTTCCCCCGTTTTGACTTAAGTGTCCGAAGTTTGGTGGTTTTACTCTATATATATGTTATTTTGCTCGGGTGGGGGGGGGGGGGGGGTTGAAGTGAGCAAATTTTGTTTCTTCAACACCCCCCCCCCCCCCCATATCATCATATATCTATCTAATGAAATTAGACTTCTAGGTAATTTAGCCATTTTAGGTTGATTGCATTCAGATTGAATACAACTGCAGAGCCAACAAGTATCACGCATTGCATTAGGGGTGACATCAAGCATTTCGAAGGTCTGAAAAAGCTCTTACGCACGACGCGCGCTCGATTTAGAATATACGCTATACCTCATGCGTGTGTTATACCCTCGCCCGCGGGATCGCGTGCCGATTCATGAAAATGTCACGCATTGCTGATCTTTGAACTTGACGTCTCTGTAACTGGTATGTAATATTGCCAAAACCACTTCCCCTGCCCCAACCTCAAAAAGGGATTAAATCATTAAATTAATTTAAAGAAATGACCGATTGGCTTCTGAATAGCAAATTCATATTACGTAAATGAATTTTGCTCGACTTAATTTCATTTCTGTCTTTCTATCTTTTCTACATTTATATTTTATTAAATTAACAGTGCTCAGCTTGCACAATCAGTAATTATGTTTATATTGGCATTGGCAAGGAAATGGTAAAACCAACTCTACTTCTACCAGTTTTCCTTCTGAAAAAAGAATGGTGCAATATAGAGACTTCAGTTGGATATTCCATATACCTGTAAGGTACATCCTACACCATAAGTGAGCAGCACATCCCAAGAAACAATATTTCTCTGATAGTGGCCCTATAGATGGGGTTGATTGTGGACGGACATAGATATTGGCCCGTATTCTGAAGTCTGGTAACTCTGGTTAAACTTTTAACCCAGGTTTTAACTACTGTAAGCCAGACTTCGGAATACGGGATTTGATACGGGCCATTGAGCTTAGACAACCGACACATGGTCGAGTGGTTAAGTCGCCGGACTGTCGATCACAAGGTCCTCGGTTGGAGACCCGCCATGGCACTAATGTCCTTTGGCAAGACATTGATCTTCATTTGCCACACTCAACCCAGGTGATGTTAGTGATTGTAATAAGCGCTATATAAAAACTGAGTATCATATCATTAGCATTCTAAAAATTGTCTCCTGTCATCATGTTCTTGTAGATCCACAGACCTTATGTCATCGCCATGAGTGAGGCGAACATCACAGATAAACGAGACCTTTCCGATGGTGGCCCTTCAGAGGAGGCACCGAGTCGTGTTAGTAGTCCTCCTAGGAAGAAGAAGCAGAAGACCAATGGAGCCGTTGGCGTGCTGTCCCATCCTGCAGAGATCAATGAAAAATATGTGGAGAAGAGCTTCAAGGATTGTATGAGAGCAGTTTTCCAAGATGGAGTAGAAGCTACTCACATAGGTACATGTATAGGTGATTACGCCCTGATGTTGTCCATCTAAAACAAGGAAAGTAGCAAGTTTCCTTTTAAAGTACAAGTCCACTCCAGAAATAACTTACTTTCAATAGAAGCAGAAAAATCAGACAAACCAATCAAAAAAAGTTTGAGCAAATTTGGATTAATAAAAAGAAAGTTATGAATTTTTGAAAAAGTATGTATTTTAACTTTTGATTGCTAAATGCTCACTTTCATCTTATTTTTCTCTCTTACCTTCCTTTTTTTCTAACACATTGTCAATTCTCAGCTAATTAAGTTGTTAAGCTGGCGAGCCAAGTAACATAGTGTACTGGGCTGCATCTCAGGAAACCGTCATAAGTACAAGTTGAGCAACATCCCATTGAAATGCGTGTATTAAATTTAACACACGTTTCAATGGGATGTCGCTCAACTTGTACTTATGAGGTTTCGTGAGACGCAGCCCCGGATCCTCAAGTATGTTTTCATATAGCCTAAGAAAATGATTTTGTATCGAGATTCAAGTATAATCTGATGGGGATGGAGTGTCTTGAAATAAAAGATGACAAAAATGACTAGTTGAAATTTGAAAATTTGATGGACATTTCGATCTTCTAATCAATGTCTTTTAATTATGTCTACCTTCAGGTACAGAGGCAGCTGTGATCACCAACCCATTTACATGCTGTGTTCTGCCAAACTTTGTGAAAGATGAACGTTTCTTGAAAGGGCTCAAGGAGGAACTGCTAGAGCTTGATTTCAACAACAAATCAAATGATCTTTACAAATTTCAACAGGTGAGATCCCATTTCCTAATTGAAATTACAATATCTGTTCAGAACCAGAAGGATGAACTCTGTGCTAAAGTATATAAATAAGTTAATACCCTTCTCGCTCCAAAGAGGCACTTCAACAATTGTGACATGGCTCTTTGAAATTAGAGTTGAATCTGCAAGGAAATAGAATTTCAGGCCTTAAATTAATCGACGGCCATCGATGGCCAGGCCGTCGATGCCCCTATGACTGGCCGTGGTGCCCTCCCCAAAAAAGATAAATTCACGGCCAAAAAGGCCGTGCCCTTTTTTTTCAACTGGCCGACGTGCCTTTTTTTCCAACTGGACATGCCCCTTTTTTTAAATTTGCGCTCATAAAACCACCAATTGCGCCCATAATCATCGAAAACTAGACGGCAAGGCGCAAGTGTTTTCCGTGAAAATTCGCCCATAAATTATTAGAACAGTAAAGATACACGAATCACGAACAGTTTGCTGCGCCCACGAGCTCTCTTCTAGCTTCGTATTGCTGAATCTCCGTGTAAAATTGTATACACAAAAAATCGGTCGTAAAAAAAATCGAACCATATTCCATACCTTATTTGGCTTACCATGTCGCACGCAAGTATGCCAAAACACGTACATTTTCACAGTTGCGAGATCGAGTAGGGGTCGAGTTTTTCGCGGTCGATTTTATTTTGGTGGATCATATTAGCCGAACCTAGACCACTAATCGCGAAACTGAAATCAATTTCCATCATTATTGCTGCAATTTTATAAAGTTTCCATGAATAGAGGTATGAAATTAAAGCCTATTTTGTGATTATTTTCCAACATCTCCATGTTTACGTAATTTTGATAATCATTTCTTCAAGGTAAAGAAAATCAGACAAAATCACCATGACTGACGCTGCGCTGCAGTTAACTCCAGGAGGCTCCAACACCGGGACCGCAGGCGGACGCCTGCCGCGCCGGTGTTGGAGCTTCCTGGAGTTACGCTGGGCGCTGTGCAGTGAGTGACTTGAGGTGAGCTGAGCTCGAGTCAAAGAGTTTTGACACTTTGAAATTGCTATCTGTTGGTTTGCATCATTATTGCCGCGATTTAAATATAGTTTCATGAATAGATGTACGAAACCTGAGCTTAGAATTAGTAAAAGTATTACTAATGTCTCAAGTTTTTAAACGACTGTCTGATTTTATTGTGAAAATTTTACTTTGAAAAATGATTATGGAAATTCATGGCCAGGAATAATCACAATCTAGGGTCTATTATGTCACAGTTCTTGCATCAAATCAATGCATGAAAACTTATTTATTGAACTAGAAAAAGGGGTTTCTTTTTTAATAGGCAATTATGAAGCAGGAAGCCTGAAACCTTAGCCTACTAAACAAATCTCAACAAACTGTAGACCCCTAGGCCTATCCTTTTATGAATTAATGAAAAAGTAGCCCCAGAAAAAAGAGCCCCAGAAATGGAAAAAAGCCCCCGAAAGTTGAAAAAGTAGCCCCCGAAAATTTCCCAAAAATTTGAAATGGAGCCCCCGAAATGAAAAACTTAATTTTTTCCCTGGGTTGGTTACACAACAATTAAATAGATAATTTCTCCAAATTTGCTCCTACTACCAGCTACCGAGAGTGCGGCGGAAGGTTTGTGTGTGAGGTGCGATTTCGATTTGGGATACCCGGTAAACTTGCCAAGTCCTTCTGACTTTCGATGTTTGTGAAATTTACAATTTATTTATTCATTTGCTCATCAATATTTTTAGTTACTTTGAAATGTGCAAGTTTGATGTTCTTAAATTAAAAATTAAAATAAAAAATTAAATTGATCGTTCTATTTACATTATGAAATTAACATTGTATCTTTGAACTTATAATAAGATTAGGGGCCTAGTCTGTCTGTTCTTGGAAAATTGCCCCTGGTTCATAGGGAATTGCCCCTTGCTCTGGTAAATTCCCGTTGGCAAGGGGCAACTTTAGAAAAAAAAATTGCCCCTTGCTCCTGGCTGCTTAATCTAAGGCTTGCGGGGGCCGCCGCCATTGCTTGTATGTACCGTAGACCTCTATACATTCTGTAAAGAAGCTGGTGCTAAAAGTCATGGGAAATTGATCCCGCACAAGTTTCATTATAAAATACGCATGACGTCTAACAAAAATAGAATCAATTTTTTTGGCCTTGATGCCCTTTTTGTAAAAATATTTTGGCCTTGGTGCCCTTTTTAGTGGCCTTGGTGCCCTTAAAAATATGAGGTACTTTAAGGCCAAACTGGCCTTGCCCTAAAAATGACGAAATTTAAGGCCAGGAATTTACACATGTATGCATACTAAACAAATTTACACAAGCATTGTTTCTGGAGCCTTCGACCATCCTTTCCTTTGACATTTTTGCATAGGCCTCGTGCATAACGATTTGAAAAAAAGTTCTATCTGGACCCCTTTCCAAAGAAGGTGCCCTGCAATAAGGTCATTCTCCTAGCCCCAGTTTTTGTCCTGTATTTTTTTTTCTCAGACAGTTGTAACAGAACTTCATTGTTTAACAATATTAACAAGGTAATTTGATTGTAAGTTTTTTCACTTTATTATGTTGCTATCATGAAATTACGACCTCAGTGTTCACATTGTTGTCTTTCTATCTTTGATTTTCTTTCAGTCAGATGCACTCCAGAACTTCACCTCCCTCTACATAACAGCCCTGAAGTAAGTCTTTGATGAGGATGATCATTTCCTTGTGTCCTAGTATAAAATATCAGGCATGAGATTTTTCTATTGATATGTGGATTTCTGCGGCTTTAGAAATTGGGGGGGGGGGAATAATAGCCAAGTTTGCATCAAATTAAAATTCAGTAACAAAATGATGGCAGCTGCTACTATGTTTTAATGGGCAGTAGTTTGCCCTTAACTCTTTTATGTTATTCAGATTTCTGTCTTGATTGTGTACTTTGAAAATGCATCTATTAAAACCAGAGTACCGGTAAACAAAATTTAGTTATTAATTTACCTTTTGATTCAATAATGTAGGAGATAAAGTTGCAAACATGGAGAACTGCATTCACATTATTAGATGGTTCCATTTTGTGTTATCTCTTCTTTTTCATTTTCTTTTTTTAGTTAATAGTTTAAACAAATTGAATCCATGTTATGGAGTAATCAAGACTTTCAAGATATTCCTACTTTTACAGTTTGCTTTGTAAAAATAACTATCTTCAAGTGACGTGGATTTTAATGGATTACTGAATGGGTTTGGCTTTCATTTTGTTTCTTTCTCTTCATAGGAAACTGCTGTATGAGGATTTTCTCAGTTGGTTAAGAGAAGTTACTGGAATTCCCTTCATCAACACGTTTGATCTCACATGCTCCAAATACAATTACACAGGTAGGCTTACATATACAGTGAAACCTGTCTATAAAGACCACTCAAGGGAGACAAGAAAAATGGTCTGTATAAACAGGTGGTCTTTATGAACAGGTTGCTTTATTACATGTTTCAATGAGAAACCATTTTCAAGGGAAACAAAAAAAAGTGGTCGTTATAGACAGGTGGTCACTAAATCAGGTTTGACTGTCTTAGTTATCACCAGTGCATTTCTCAAAAGCAAATGGTTTTTACGTGAATTAAATTAATCATATTTGGACACAGGAGGTCAGTCCTTAACAGAATGGGTTTGTTTTGTATCATTATGAAGACAAATGCAACTTGATGTTTTATGTAGTGTACACAAAAAATCAGAATAATGATTATTTGTTTGGTTTAGAACGATTCAACTAAATCTTACATGTACACGTACAATAAATCAGTAGTGTCACATTTCCTTATTGATTGTTCTATATACAGATGTGCTGCTTTGCCATGACGATGAGTTAGAAGGAAGACGGGTTGCTTTCATTCTCTATCTTGTCCCCACTTGGGCGAAGAAAGATGGAGGGCTCCTAGATCTATTTGATATGGATGGTAAGATGGTTCATTTATTACAATCACAATCAAGATTAAGTAATCTTTTAGACTTAATTTGTTAGCACAGTGGCACACTCAAGTCATGGGCAGAATTTGCTTCCCATGATGGAATTGGATCAATATAGAGTGTGTTCTTAGGTTTCTCGCTCTCGCTCTTGCTCTCGCTCTCCCTCCCCCCCCCCCCCTCTCTCTCTCTCTCTGTCTCTCTCTCTCCCTCTCCCTATCCTTCTCTCTGTCTGTTTGTCTCTCTCTCTCTCTCTCTCTCTCTTTCTCTCTCTCTCAAGACAGATTATAAAATAAATGAAAGGTTTATAGCCAATTCAGTAGCTATCATCTTTGAACATTTGTATTGGCATTGATTTAATGAATATTCTTCTTATTTGTGTCAGAACATGGACAACCCAAGTCAGTGGTCAAGTCTCTGGTGCCAAATTGGAACAACTTTGTTTTCTTTGAAGTGACTCCAAAGTCATTTCATCAGGTGAGCAAATAATGTGAATTACTTTTGTGTTCATTCAGGAGGTGCATTCTCAAAAAATTTCAGGCACAGATGGAATGGCAAAAGAGCGTTTCCAATTGGATTTCAAATGTGTACTGTGCAGATTTATGATACTTTTTTTGTTAAACGCATGATTTTTGCTGACATTATTTCTTCTGTTTGCAGCAAAGTTCCCTATGAGTAATTATAATCTGTGAAGATTGTGGAAGATTAATTTGTATTAAGTGAAATTTGAATCTACTTGAATTATAGTCTTTATTTTATTAATTGTCTGAAACCCTTTTTTTTTCTTGGCATTAATTTTCTATATCCAACAAAGTTATTAATTCCAAACGCATGTCTAGATTTTCATTGACAATATCCATTCCTTGAAATGCAATATCGATCATCTTTCTTATCATCTTCATCATCTCATCTTCCTCATCTTCCTTGTCTTCCTTATCGATTATCTTCCTTCCTTAGGTTTCTGAAGTGTTGAATCAAGACAAGTGTCGTCTCTCTGTGAGTGGCTGGTTTCACGGTCCTACAGTGCCAAGACCAGCCCCATACATAGAGCCCAGGTGTACCCTGACTCCACACGTTGATACCCAGGTAGGTCTTAGCATAGCTAGACCCCACCAATGAACTTCCCTTCACCTGATGCAAATTTTGCAGGTGTTCATCATGCAGATATGGATGTTCAATTCAATTCAAATCATTTTATTTCTCATACAAAAACATAATACAATGAATACCGATAAGTATATAACAAAAATAGAGAATGAATCGACAAATATAATAGTTATAGCACGAGAAAAGAGGAACTAACTAGAAGGAGAGCTTGTTGAAGTATTAGTTCCTCAGAGGCTGTTTTAAAATATGTCTTGAAAACAAAGTATACATAGACCGGATGATAGCTCCTATACTTCTACACAGACGTAACTTCCTTCTGGCTCACAACAGACTGAATCATTGATTAGGTATCGGGAGGGATCTCGCTCCTACATTATCATCTGAAAGATGTGACTTGGATTCAAATTTCGGTAACACCAGAGGGTGCTAGTCAAATTTTCATCCCTTTTTATAGCATGTAAATTTCTCCCATCCTACTTTTTGTTAGGGGGGGGGGGGGTGGGGGAGGTGAGTTGGATAGGAGGAGTGTGAAAGACCACTATATATTTCAAGTAATTCTTTCATAATGCCAGAAGTTGCAGTATAAAACTACTTATCCTTTTTTTTTTACAGAAAATCATTTGGAATTGCATTTACGTCTACCAGATATCCTCCGTTTTTTGTCAACCTTATTATTTTAGATTTCAGTTATATTCCCTCTGACTTGTTGTGTCTTTGTGTATGTGTGTATACTTTTATTAGGAGACATTATTCTATGAATGGATCAATGAGAGTTACTTGGATTTTGGAAATCAGAGTGAGGTCCAAGACACGTTCTCAGATGAATCTGAAATACAGCTGTCTAGGTTCTTTGAGGTAAGGTTTGCTATGAATTCAGGGTAGGGATAATTGCTTGACACTAACAGTATTTTGGTTTTAAAAATATAAATAGTGCACTGAGGTACATCTTTTCTCAAACTTACACAGGGAATCCCAGAGAGGGCAAGTTCAATGTATGTGGTCACCAAAAGTAAACTAAAAATACTAATAATCTAGATTTATATAGTGCTTAATACGAAATACCATCTCTAAGCGTTTTAAAGATGTTACCCCCCCCCCCCCCCTCATCAGATTCATTCATGCACAAAGTGCACTTGGTGGCAAATGGTGATTACTAACACAAGGGTTTCGTCATCCTACCAGGTCCCCATCTCTCTCCTGGGTATGGGGTGGCAAGTGTAGATTAATGCCTTGCCAAAGGACATTTCAAGTCAAATGCGTAAACCACTCGACTACGACACCTCTGCGTGAAGAGTAAAGTAAAAAGTAAAACCAAAATATCGCCGTTGTAAATCTCAATTTCCTTGTTCTGTGGTCTGATCCAAGCTCTAGAAGAAGGACTGTCAACTTGATAGAATCACCAGATATAAAAACGAACCTGGACTTGCCAAAGTACAAAAATACAGTACAAAGCCTTAGTAGAGATGGATATTTTGAAACGAATCGTTGTGAATTGTATTCACAAAATCAATCAGTAAGAAGTGAGAAGTCCATAATGATTAGATGTGAACTGTTTCATGAATAGCCAGTTGCAATTGTTTGGCCTTGTAAAACTTCCTTTATACATGCACAGAACTAGTCACAAATAGGGTCATAAAAATATATAATATTTTCAGGGTCTATTTAATATTGTGAAATTTTGTATTTCATCATTGATTTTATCTTGTAGAAGGAGAAATATGAAGCAGTTCTTACTCAGCTTCAGAATAGTGACATCAGATGGAAGTCCAGAGGCCCTGCAAATAAAAGGTAATGGGATATTTGACATTTGTGTTATCCAAGTTATAGAACAGATGTCATGTTCCTGTGCCATTTGGCAAAGCGCTTCTCCATTCAAAGCTATAGGTCTCCCATCATTATGCCGAGAAGCATGTTCTTGCCTTCTTAACACTCTAGTGAGAAGGAAAAAAAGTTGATCAGTTAAAAGGGGTACCATTGCTTTATAACTTTAATGCACTCTCTGAGATTCAGTGCCATTATAACCTATCACCAATATGAAAAAAAAATAGGAGGATAAGTTGCCTTCCAAGATTATTTTAGATCAAATGTACATAGAGAAAGGGGTGGGCTGGATAACAAGTACATTCAAAGAATGAATCAGTGATTAGTGATTTTTTTTTACCGTCTTTTAGAGAGAAAAAAATATTAAAGCATTCGAAACTGAGAAACATCAGCCCAAAGAGGGAGAAAAAAAAAAATCTGACCGACCAACCCATGTTTTGGCACCTAAAAGGCAATACAACATTTTTGTTTTAAAGGTACTATGTCCCATTTGCAGGCAAAAAAATGATACTTATTTAGAACTTCCCTAAAAAAGGTGGGGCTTGAAAATGTCTTCAAGTGGGAAAATAATGACTATTAGTTGTCAAATCGACTTTAGGGCTATAGAGCCCAAAAGTAATAGTCTTGATTTTCAGACAATTGTACCGAATGATCATACATTTAATGCTGCGCAAAGATTCAATCAGTTTAATTTTGGCCATCACAATAAGTGGGTTATTGATGTAGACAAATGCTCATGTACCCTTTACAACTCTTTTCATGTATGTTATTACCAAAGAAGAAAAAAAGCCAGTCAGTCACTCAATAGTGTCTGACAGTGAAGTCTAGCAAGTAAATGGGTTTCCTTGCATAATTTGAATATGAGGACATTGCTAACGTTTAAATTTCACAGATAGGACATAAATAACATATTCATAATTCCTGCAAAGTTCTACAGAATCTGAGGTTGGCTGCAAAAGGGACATAGTACCTTTAAAGGCCTTATTCACTTGTAACTTCAACATGAACACTCTTATCTTGTTCCTTCAGACATTACAAGTCAGCAGAGCTTACCTCCCTGCCACCCGTCATTCAAGAGTGCCTGAGTGTGATGCAGAGTGAACACATGTTCCTCCTCCTCTCGAACTTCACCGCCCTCCGCCTCCACGCCCAAGCACCCTGCAGCGACGATGATGACGACGACGACGACGAAGATGAGATAGAAGAGGTGCAGGAGAAGACGGAAGAGGGTTTGGATGATGAAGATGGAGAGAAGGTTAATGGTACAAGATGCAAGTCAGCCAGCGAGGAAAGTGAGAGCAAGCCAGAAGCAAGGATAGTAGATCATGATGATGGTGATGAGAGAGAAGGAGTAACTAAGGAGAGGGGAGAACAATCAGACAAGGTGCAAGATGGAGACGTTCATGAACAGGGCACCAGTCGGAAGGATGAAACAGACCTTCAAGATGGCGGTATGTTAAAAGACACATCCCTGGTATTATCATAATAAAAATAAAGATAACAGCAACATTTATATTGTGCTTATATCCATCCAAAGGGTGTGCAAGTGGACATAGGGTGAATGGTACAAGGACTATTATTATTCTTACTTTAGTCCAGCTGCCCGAGGCATTGAAAAAAGACATGAATTTCATAAAATCTTGATTCTCATGAAGTAAGACTCCACTCCAGTTTCAGTAAACACTGCTATCATACCCCCCACCATGTGATGATGTGACTTGAAATATAGCATGTACTTCAGTTTGGGTTTCATGAATTGCATTATAATCAGGAAACGTTTGAATGTGAGTCTGCGACCCCACCACTACCACCCCCTCTCCAAAATTTGTTTAAAGCCTGTCTGCACAAGTTCGGCCAGGAGGGATTAGACCTCCCTGCAAGGTCACTGACAGGTGGTTATCTCATCAAATCAGCTCTCAATTAACATAAGAAAAAGGGGATCATGGGGGACCAACAGGCACCGATTAGGCATCGTTTGCTATATAGAGGGCGCAAGTAGCTATAAGTAGTGCAGTGGGGCTTTAAAGAATAAATGAATAAATGAAAGGAGTGCAGCAACATCATTTACCTTTCATGACATTACCATATTGATTTACACTTCTAGACAAAATAAGCAAGGTCAAGATAGCATGTCCATTCATATCTTTACCATGTATTCTATCAATATTCAGTCGTAATAAAGATGAAACGTGAGGCAAGCACTCCTAGGTGTAGGGCAGAGGTCAGGAAGTGGACACACGGCTGCTACACTCTGCTGCATGATACAGACACAGAGGGCTCTGAGTTTGCTCTGGATGCTTCAGTGTTCTTCAACACGCATGGTTAGTGGGTGCCGATGACATGGTAGCAATGATAATGATAATGATAATGATATATAAGATTTTTAAAGCACCAAATCCATTTGAACTGAAATGCTCAAGGCACTAGAGTGCAAAAGATGAAATCACATATCTGCATTACAGACAAGAGAACAACAGTAGTAAGATCAAATATACCTTAACAAAATGGGAACTATAGATTATATGCCAAATCAAACAGATACGTTTTTAGATTATTTGTTGAACGCTCCAAAAAACTGATCACTTGACTACATTGAATTTATAGATCATTGCCATATCAGCTGTCAGTGGAACCATGAAGCAACTATTTTACTTTGTTCATGAATAGAGTAATGAATGAAGAGTAACGAAAACTGTAATATGTGTTTGGATGTTGGGAACACAGTTATAACTTGATTTTTATCTTGTAGAGTATTAGAATGATTCAAACAGATATGAAACCACCCCAAACATACTCTGTCATCAATGGACCTTGTTACTACTTACTCATAATAGCAGGGATAACTATGATGAATATCTGTTACCAGCTGTGTACATGCATCAAGTACTTGCCTTTGTGGGTTTTGATGCGAGTTGGTCAACCATAAATTTCTTGCAGTACCAAATTCACTTTATTGTCTTTTAGTGCGTTGACTAACGTGTAATGTTTTCTTCTCCCTTTTCTTTCATTTAGGTGTGAGTCAAGCCACTGGGGGTTTCGTTTCCTACATCGCAAAAGGAGAAGATGAAGAAGTAAGATTTGATGCACTTAATCAATTTAACTACTAATGCTTAATAGCATAGTAATAATAATAATGATAATAATAGTATGTATTGTTTACCAAGGGTAGCCTCATGAGTGTTAATACTGTTCTCCCTGAGGGCTATGCAATCATATTATTACCCTGGCTTTAGCCGAGCTTCCCTGAAAATGCACTCAGGAATTCAAGGAATTTCTTCCTACTGGAAACCTTTTACCTCACCTGGGTTGAGTGTGGCAAATGTAGATTAATGTCTTGCCAAAAGACATTAGTGCCGCGGCAGGACTCGGATCACGAACCTTGTGACCCACAGTCATGAGACGCATCCACTAGACTATAACACCTCTACGTTTGTTCCCTTTCGACCACACACCCGTTGTAAATAGACGGTTCATTGCCATTGCTTGTATTGATACAATTCTTAACAGTTTTGTACTGATGCATGTTAATGCTTTTAGTTGGGTTGATAACGGTACATTGTTACCAAATAAGCCCTATCTCGCACAGAATCAAATAAGGGGTATTGACAGGGATGATGTGAAGTGCTACACATTCAGCACATTCGTCGAAAAGGTTTCTTCTATGGTGCTATATGATACTGTTTAGACAAAAAATAAGAATTAGTATTTAGGAAATGGGGGCGAGAGATACGTTATCCAACAAAAAAATGGGCATTTTAATGTGACTTCTCATAAAGTTGTATTAAATACACAAGCCTTTAAGTAAAGATAGAGTTGGCATTCTTTATACAGCAATTATGTGCTTATTCCATGAAAGCAGTGTTGCACACTTAGGAGTTAAATTGGAATACTCCACATATTTCAAAAGGTAGTTGTCAATTTTGTTAGGTACCATGAATGAATTTTGCTTCTGACAGTTTCAAAGTAGCATTTTGGATTAAATTTTAATGTTTTTTCTTCCGTACAGCTACTGAGTGTGCTCCCTGAGGAAAATTCTCTTTCACTGGTCTACAGAGACAAGGAGACACTGAAATTTGTCAAACATATCAATCATAGCTACAGAACTAGCAGAGGGAGTAATGGCAATCCTCAAAACAGCCATTGTGCCTTCTATGAGCTGTACTTGGTGTACTATGAATAATGGCATGCTGTAAGGCATAAGCACTGATCAGCTTGGACTGTTTGTTGTATGTGAGGCGAACACCCATAGACAGGAGAGAGGGTGAAGACAGCCAAAGTGCCTTCTATAAGCTATTACTGATGTGCAATGTATGAAGACATGTTCGTATGCACAGAGTATGATCAGCCATGCCTATTCCTGGAATGACAGGCACACTACCCATAACTTCATAGCCAGAAGAGGGAGGGAAGACGATCATCAGAACAACTTCTGTGAGCTGTACCTTGGTGTTATAAAGATGGCTTTTGAGCATAGAATCTGATCAGCAAGAACCTGTCTTTGGACACCAGGCAAACATCCACAGCCAGAACAGGGAGTGATGGCAATCCTCAGAACAGTCAAAATGTCATCGTTTAGCTTTACCGGGGGTACCGGGGGTACTGTGACAGAATCTCACCAGCATTATTACATGTACGAGTATGACAAACACATCAGCCACAGCGTCACAGCCAGCTGAGGGAGTGATAACAATCCTCAGAACAGCCAACATCTCATCTTTATAAGATATAAATTGTGTTCCTTCTACAGTGACAGAATAGACCAGTTCACGGTTAGCACATCTCTGCAATGACCCCGAATATCCACAGATCTTCGAAACATGAAGAGGTCCCACTTTGTACATTTTGAAATAATCACTCCTACAGCGATGCAGGTGCTACATAAATAGCCTTTGTTTCCCTTTTCAAAGAATATTTGCACCTGTAATTCTGCCTGTGTATCATGGAATGCACTGCTTGTTCATTAATGAATAATGATTACATAACTTTCATGAGCACGTATCCAGTATTTCGTCTCAGTGAATTATACAATTTGTTCTGCAATGACCTTTATCTGCTCATGCTCAGACTGCAACCGTGAACTGGCTTATTAGCCTCTTTCTCATGGCCAGAGATCATTGGAATTTTACAAGAAAAAGATATTTTTCTTTGCATATGGATTGAGCCTCGAGATGGAATGGTACATGTACATCAGGGTCCCGTTTCACAAAGCCTTTTTACAATGACAAAAATCAATGAAAATCTGCAGATTAGCAATCAGAAGCAAGGATTTCACTAGCTGTTATTTATCACTGATGACAAGTATTGTGAAACGGGTCCTAGGTAATCTTGGTGCCAAGATGTGGAGAGAGTACACAATGGATTTAAAGGGCAAACCAACCCTTGTAATAAATCTATTGATATGGAATCAGAGAAATAAGAGAAACGGAATGGTGAAAGTTTGAAATAAATCAGGTCAATAATAAGGGAGTAACGGGTGTTTTAAATATGAAATCACTAAATATATGCGAGTCTCAAATTAGCATTGCGGTAAGTGGATTATGGTGTAGTTATGGCACAACTCTCCCGTTTGTTGTGAACAAAAATATAATTAATTTTTTCTTAGTATCTTCTCCCTTGGGGCACTACGCAAAATGAATTATGGATAACATATTATTACAGGTCCTCTAAAAAGAAAAGACCCTCCTGAATAATAAATTTACAAAAAATGACAATTTAAAACATTTTGTGTGTTGAAAATAAAGAGAAAGTAATCCGGCACTTTGTTACATTGACATTACAGATTCAGCAAATTTTAAGTGTTCATACGTATATTGATTACAACTTCAAAAGACCTAACATTCTTATTTTTTGACTAATTTAAATTAAACTTTCACAAATCTGCTTTTCAGATTTTTTTTCTGAGTACTTACTTCTTAGGGTAGTTGCCTGTTAAAGTTGGATTTCAACAAAGCATGCTGAACTGTTATTTTCAAAAGCAATATTAAGGCAACTGATTTTATGGTTTCCTAACGCAGTATCGTAACCTGCACACAATTATATTAGCGCACATTTATTGCAATGCATTAATCCCACATTACTTTTGATTGTCCATGTGATGTCACAATTCTTAACAGTAAGTATTTTACTGAGATTTTGTCTTACGTAAGTAAAAGTCTAAAATGCAATTTGAATACGAGATAAGTAAAGTTCTTAGCTTAGTAATTTACTTACGGGTAGTAAATTTCTTACTTATTCTAGTATTGAATTGGATACCGCCCCAGGCTTTCTTTCACTCAACTGTCATAATATGCCAACATCCCATTGAAACATGTGTTCATTTCAATACAAACTCTTCAGTGGGAGGTTGCCAGACTTTTACTTAGACAATATATGATTGTTACTTGAAATACTTCTGTAATTTTTACAAATTCTCCCATGTTTCAATGATTGAATATAGAATGCACAACCACTCATTGAAACTACGAAAGATAACACGAGGACTTTATCATGTTTATAATTATATTCTGCATGTACATGTAGCAATAATTGAGAGATATTATCAACCATTGTTGATAATCATTTCAATTTTTGTTTTGCTTCAAGCAATAAAATCTAATCAGGAAAGCAACAAACATGTTACTGTCAGAAAAAACTTAAGTAAAATTGCTTGGAAAATTTGACCATGCACAGTGCACAACAAGATTACCAAAATGTCACACACTTTGATATTCAGTTAGAGCTCATTAATTGTGTATTATTATGGTCAGCATGGTTAGATTTAAGTTTTGTTATTTCTGTGAAAGAGCAAACTCTCTTCTAAACTATGTAATTCAAACTTGTGAACCATCAAAAAAAGTCAAAATATAATGTTTGGCAACTTTCTTTAGATTCATATTTATCTGATATGCTGTCTAGTGTCTACCAAGGAATGGAAATAATACAAGCTTATATAGAACTTTAGAAGCAGCTGTAAAGCATTTTGTCATGTATGTAGTAATAACATTTTTACAAATTATAACAAATGTTATATAAGGTCTCATCTCCTCGAAGTTTGTTTTATGGTTTCAGAATAAAGTGCTAAATTCTTATAATTTGGTTGTATGTGTATTCCATGTTTTAAAGAAAAGTTTTGGGCAAAATAGAGAACATAAAGCTGTGAAAAAAAAACCCTATAGGAACTGTTGAGATAGACAAGGTAAGAGACAACTAGAGGGAAATACGTGTACGTATATGACTAGAAAGAGATTGTGAGAGGGAAAGAGAAAGGAGGCATGGAGAGAGAGAGAGAGAGAGAGAGAGAGAGAGGGAAAGAAAAAGGAGGCATGGAGAGAGAGAGAGAGGAAAGAAAAAGGAGGCATGGAGAGAGAGAGAGAGAGAGAGAGAGAGGGAAAGAAAAAGGAGGCATGGAGAGAGAGAGAGAGAGAGAGAGGGAAAGAAAAAGGAGGCATGGAGAGAGAGAGAGAGAGAGAGAGAGAGAGAGGGAAAGAAAAAGGAGGCATGGAGAGAGAGAGAGAGAGAGAGAGAGAGAGAGAGAGGGAAAGAAAAAGGAGGCATGGAGAGAGAGAGAGAGAGAGAGAGAGAGAGAGGGAAAGAAAAAGGAGGCATGGAGAGAGAGAGAGAGAGGGAAAGAAAAAGGAGGCATGGAGAGAGAGAGAGAGGGAAAGAAAAAGGAGGCATGGAGAGAGAGAGAGAGAGAGAGAGAGGGAAAGAAAAAGGAGGCATGGAGAGAGAGAGAGAGGGAAAGAAAAAGGAGGCATGGAGAGAGAGAGAGAGAGGGAAAGAAAAAGGAGGCATGGAGAGAGAGAGGGAGGGAAAGAAAAAGGAGGCATGGAGAGAGAGAGAGAGAGGGAAAGAAAAAGGAGGCATGGAGAGAGAGAGAGAGAGAGAGAGAGAGGGAGGGGTGGGAGAGGAAGGAAGGGAGAGCGATAGAGAGAAAAGGGGGAGGAGAGAAAGAGAGAAACAGACAAGGCAGATGGTTAAATTGAGTATCTAAATTTTTAGAATAGACACTAATTACCAACACAGGAAGAAATGCAGAGAGGACGATGTTGAACAAAATAAAAAAATTAAGTCAATGTGAGAATATTTACCAGTAGTCGAGTGAGACCACTTGAAAAAGTAAATGCAGGCCTTACTTTCATAAATTATTGGCCCGAAAAAGTAATCTTTTGGGAATAAAGAAAAAGCTTATATCCAGACAAAAAGGAGCTCTGTGAAAAATGCCCCCAGCATGACTTGGTGCATGTATGATATAGTATTTCACATACATTGTACTCATCTACACACAATGTAATTGAATACTGTATGCAGGGTCATTTGACCCCTTTAGTGACTGTAGCACCCTCTGCCGATAGTACTGTATGTGTTGTGGAGTGTACACTGTACAATGTAAATACTTTTTTTTAAATTAATTCTATATGGCCTCTACATGGTAGGTAATTTATTCTTTTTAAAATTCATATATATTGTATAAAGAATCTCAATAAAAAATCAAACAGAAAACAAATAACAGCCCCCCCCCCCCCCAAAAAAAAAAAAAAAATCTTGCATTGAACATGACAGCAATAATTCAATACAACAGGACATTACTTTGTTTTTACTTTTATTGACACAGAGATTATAGCAATTTTCATATTGACATTAATAAGCACTTTACTGATAAGATACAAAAATCTGTAAATCAAATGTATATTGCCCATATACAGAGGATACATGTTTAATACAGGGAACTTATAGTCATAGATTCATGGAATACTTTTCCCTTTTTTAAATTGAAACCACCAGTAACATTTAACCATGGAGATCTCTTATTTTATCTCCATGATTTAACCAGGGATCCCTGATTTAACCATGGAGATAAAATAATTTATCTCCATGATTTAACCTTACTTGCTTCAATCTGATCCTTGCAGTATACAATCATGGAGATAAATACAATTAACTCTGCATACATGTGTTTGTATGTCATACATGTCATACATTGGACTGAAAATACTAGGTTTATTTATGCAAAATTCCGCTTAGGCAGTGTGAATACTACAGTACATGTAGTTTGCTCACAAATTGATTTGAGTTAGCGATAAGAGTGAGCTATAAAAACAACTAAGGTCATTACAAGTTTGATTTCAATATTGCATAAATTACAAATGTACATGTACTGGAAAACCTACATACATGTACAATAAAATTATATTACACACACTCATAAAGGCAGCAACGGCAATTAAAGGTAGTTTCATGACATTGTTAAAGTTGAACTATTATAATGGCACTTGGAGAGTTTTCTTTTTTTTGCTGGCAAACTCAACAGCTACAATTACCACAGTACGACAGTACGTGTAAATAATACAAAAACAATTAGACAACCAATATTGATACAATATTGATACAAATGCACATCCTTTTCTATAAGCGAGTGTCTTTATAAAAGGTTGCATTGACATTATATACTTTAGCCAATTCTTTATTTTGTGTTTAACTCTTTAATAATCTACATTGTACCTATAGAGTGCCAGATACCGGTATATAAAAAAGGGTTATTATAGAATGACCTGTACAGAATTAATCATTTTTGTTGGTAATATTTCCCCTTTCAATATTTATGTAGACTACCAGAGAAACGGAGAGGTGGATATAAAAATGTCTAAACACATTAATCAAGGTACACTAACATTTAAAAAAAACATACACTGTAATCCACATTTTGAAGGCAAGACGGAATTAAAATTTGTCCAACATACAAGTACATAAAGAAAATCCCATTCTTTTCTCATTTCTCAGAGAAAGTTAGTGATTAATGAAAACTTAATGTTTTATAAACAATATATATTGCATATATATACCATCTTCAATGTAATATATTGTGCTGAGTAAAGGTAAGGTACAGTAGGAAAATCCAGGCATTTCAATTATCCATGAGTCAACTGCCACCTACTATGTATGTACATGTACATGTAGACAATTTTTTCCCCAAAACCGTAAGAATCTGTAAAACTCTCCCACCTACATTTAAAGTAGTTTCAGATACGCTGATGACCTTTAGGGGTGCAGCCTTATCCGTCATTAGACAAATATTGCCGCCCCCTACCCTCAAGATTCTTTAACGAGAGCCACAACTACACCTGAATATGCCTGAACAGGAATTCACATCACCATGTATGAGCAAGGGCAACGACACTTAATGTTGTACAGCACCGCCCATTCGAGGACAGTGTCATCGACACAGGGAGAGTAGAAATAAATTCAATGTTCAAGGTACCCATGTACATGTACATGTTGTATTTTGTAATAGTGTAATCAATTTCACTGTTATTGGTTTAAAGTTCACAGGATTTCTATTTCTATTTCATAAAAACACATTCGTAAAAGTCTTCATGACAGAGCATGACAGAGTATGTACATTAGGTGGGGGGGAGGGGCTTAGAAACTTTGGTGGTAAGCAATTTATAAGCAACGTTTTTATATTTTATTATTATGAACAATACTACACGTCCCTGGATTACATTGAATTCTCGCTACCCTAAATAGGTACGAAAATCACGAAATTCGCGAGACGAGGTAATTTTCACTCTCTCGGGTCGTCACTACAACTTCCGGTATAGAGTCCCATCCCGCTGGCGCTAGCGCCTGTGTTCGCTGTGCAGAGTTTTCACGCACGCTAAAATCAGGGTTCTTACGCTTGGAATCATGAGCCCAGCACTGTGCAGCCTCACAAAAGAAAACCATCGTCACTGATGTCAAAAGACGCAAAAAACAACGAATGAAATGTTCAAATAAACGTTGAAATATTTGCGAAAAAAAAAACAAGACCGAGCAGACGACATATTTGGTGCATACACGTTGTGTGGCGACGGCGTTTTACGTTTGCGCTATCGCGCCTAGTAATATAGCGCCTGCACAGGAAGCTGTAATGTCGAAAAGCTATCCCATAATGCAATGCGCGTTTTCAGGATTTTCCCCGGATCTCGGCAGAATCGCTATTTGGGGTAGCGAGAATTGCTGTCTATTTATGGTCAGCAATGTTGTAGTTGTCTGCAAATAGCAGTCTTTATAAGCGAACTTTAAAAAATGTAATCTTTTGTGGATAGGTACATATAAACTCTGATTAACAAATAATTAATTTGCAACCTTTTTTTAAGGTGCTATTCTACAGGCAGTTCACTAGGATATATTACAAATGTCATTTACTATATGAATGATTGTGTGATGTCAAATTTACAGAGGAAAATAATACTGTTTTAAAATGTAATGCAAAAAATTATCAAGGTTATCAGTTATTCATTGGCTTTTTACAGTACACGTGTAGTTTTAAAAACATAACACCAGGCTACGGCACACCCCAACAAACATTTACACCACCTGGCAATTCATGACACTCCTTGTACAGTCAAACCTGCTTTAGTGACCACCTGTCTACAAAGACCACCTGTCTACAAAGACCACCTGTCTAAAAAGGCCACATTTGTTGTTTACCTTGAAAATGGTTTCTCATTGAATCATGTACTAAAGGATCCTGTCTACAAAGACCACCTGTCTACAAAGGCCACTTTTTGTGTTTCCCTTGGGTGGTCGCTATAGACAGGTTTGACTGTAGTTACTCGCCTCTCCTACCATCCCAGTATAGCTTCCTGAGTGAGCTGCCTAAGGGATTACCAAACCAAGTACCAAGTACCTGTACATGTTTGTAATACAGACTACAGGAATGAAGAAGTGAAATAAATAAGACTATTGGTGACTGCATGGACACTGGTAGGTTGAGAACTACTCAGCTGTTGATCCATGTAGTTTAGAGGATTTGTGATTTAAACATGAACCACATCACAATACATACCGGTATGTACAAATGTACTAGTATGCATGCCCTTACCGAAAATGCAGGCTTATTTAGCCTGCTTTGAACCTGCGTCTGGCCTGCATTCTTAAATACATGCTAATTATTCTTTTGCATGTTAAATTTTAGCCTGTATTTTGCAAAATCAGTCTTACATGTTTTAGCAGGTTAAATTTTAGCCTGCATTTTGCAAAATCAGTCTTACATGTTTTAGCAGGTTAAATTTTAGCCTGTTATTAGCATGCATTTTGCAAAACACAGTCTTACAGTTTAAGCAGGCTAAATCTCAGCCTGCAGTTTAAAATTAGCATGCCTTTTGCAAAATACAGTTTTAGCAGGTTAAATCTTTAGCATGCCACATGAGATGCAGTTTAATCTTTAGCATGTAAATTTCTATCATAATTTGTTAAACCTGCAATCTGAAGAAATGTCCTCTGAGCAGGTTTAGAACACAAATTTAACCTGTTATTGCTTTTTACATGTAGCCTGCAGGTTATTTTTCACATGCACGTTTAATGTTATATATCAGGTGTGATTTGAGAGTTTAAACAAAAATAGGTTCATAGAAAGCCGAGCAAGCGAGGTTTCGAGCGCTTGGGGAGGCATCCCAAGACAAAAATCCAATTGAAACCAATTGAACACCAATTTAATTTTCATTTTTTCAATTGGTATTTAATAGGACTTCAGTTGGTTTCAATTGGTCAAGTTTGGCCCTATTGGACCAATTGGCCTAGGCCCCATTAGACTTTAATGGGAACTCAATTAGTTTCAATTGGACCAATTGCCCCTATTTTGGACTTCAGTTGGTCCAATTCAGTTTCAATTTCAGTTTATTTTCATATTTCACATGTTTATTTTATTACATTTGGCATGTTACATGTTTTGTAATCATTTTTTTGGGGGGGATGCATTTATACAAACAAACAGAATAATACATAAGACTAAGTTAAATAAAGGAAGAAATATGATGGAGCCTAAAGAGAGAGCAATGCTTTTAGGTCGTAGTTATAACATTGATATAGTCTTGTGTTTATTAGATACATGTATCATAATTGGATTAAATTGCAACTTATATGAAGAAAAGATATATTTGAAACCAATTGAAAACCTTACAGTCTATGGGGCTGATTGGTCCAATTGAAGTCCCATTTAAGTCTTATTGGGGCCAATTGGTCCAATTGAAACCATTTGAAATATCTAATGGGGCCAATTGGTCCAATTGAAACCAATTGAAATCCCGATTAGAGTCAAATGGGGCCAATTAATTGGTCGAATTGAAACCAATAAGACCAATAGATCTACCAATAGGAACAATAGGACCAATATAAACCAATAAGACTAATTGAACCCAATGGGACCAATAGAAACCAATAGAAACCTTCATTTATGTTAGCCTGCCTTTTCGATTAGCATGCTAAAATTAACCTGCAATACGTATCTCATGAATATTCATTATTACTTTACACGTCTCACAGAAAAATACATTTATCATGATTAATTGTTAAGCAACTTATGACAATTAATGCACATATCAATTTTGTGATTGTATTTTTCTTTGGCAATTATTGACCAATAGATTATTTGTCTGATCACACTTACATTCATGTTTTAGCAATAGATATATTGATTATACGATTACTAACCAATTTAAATAGCATGTATATTTTCTATATATACGTGTATGAGCCTGTACTTTTTTAAAGTCAATCTTGAATTAACTTCAAATGATCTTTGTGATGGAGTTAGTCTAATGCAATTGAGATTAGAATATTCCCATTGGTGGACACTTGCAAATATTGATTATGATATATCAATTTATCCCCGTTCCTCTATCCGAGTCGATATACCAATAGAAGTCTTGTACTGATAATGATGGCAATCAAATATCTTCAATTTTGTTAGCCTGCATTTTAGATTAGCATGCTAAAATTAACCTGCATAACTTACATATTTCAGCGTTTTTGCAGGCTAACAAAGCAGGTTAATTTTGCATACTAAAAAGCAGGGCAATTTTGCAGGCTAATTGAGCAGGTTAAAATGATTTTGCAGGCTAAAATAAGCCTGCTTTTAAAATGTACAGGCTAAATTAAGCCTGCCTAATTTGCATATTTCGGCGTTTTTGCAGGTCAGTGCTTGCTAAGGAATTAGCCTGCTTTTTAGCAGCTATGCAGGCTTGATGCAGGCTATAAGCAGGCCTGCCTTTTCGGTAAGGGTGAACATTAGTGATAAAACAAGGTTCCCAGTATTTTATAGCTTTTTCTTCCTCTTTGAATCTCTCTCACTCTTAATTTCAATAATTTACATTGTATTTGCAAACGATCCTCATCACTTTTCAGTTTTACTCTTGATATTTTCCACAACATACACTTGCTCTAGCTGTTTTCTGTTCATTGCTTACATGTACAATGTACTTCAGTCCTTATTCCTTCATATGATTTCAGGAGAACTACTGTACGTTACTTTATGCTATCAAATTCTGATTTCTTTCTAATTTGTGTTCCCATAAGTTGCAATAAGCTACAGTATATTTCTCGTATTTATACCAACTTATTTTTCAGATTCAATATATACTGTAATGTAATGCTTTGTTATATATGATGGGTTACAGTATTTATTTTGTTTGTAAACTTGTGTAATTCGGCTAAATGCCGCGATGAAAGTTTCATTTGAAATAAACCCTTTCGAATTGGAATAAACTGAATTTCATGAAAACAAAATCCTTTATTTGTTTTCCCAACACCATAAAGTTAAACAATTCAGGGATCTTTAAAAGGAGGCCCTTACACACTACAAAACCATGGATACTGTAATACAGTCTGTGATCATGAGGATTATAAATTGGATATATGCTCTTTGGATACACAATAAAACATATGACATTACTTCATTTTCCCCCTATTTCAGTAATCATTCTTGAATTCCCTGACTGAAAAAAAACAAACAAACAAAACGAACAAACAAACAAATTTTCAAGGTTTTCCCTGATTTAAGGGATAGCAGGGAACGCTATTGAATTAAACCCCTGAATCAAACACAATAAATTAATTGACCATCAGTGCCCATATGATTTTTGGGGATTACATTTTATTTTAGTTCTTTAAAATGCGAAAGTCACCTTGATATCATTCTTGGTTATTGCTTTAGTTATTCAAAGATTTCCTTTGCTATCCAACGATTTACTTTTAAATCCAACCATTTACGCTGCTGATCCAACAATACCGCTTTTCTTATCCAACGATTTGCAGCAAAGCAAGAGCAGCATAACCTATGGCAGTAAAGAGAAGCTTCTGTCCTCTGTATTTTCCACTTTCAAATTCATGATTCAGGATCTCAAAGAACGTCACAAAGATGAAAATACCTGCAGCAACGGCCTGCATGACTGCTGAGCACACATCAGCACCAAAACTATGATTTGACTGAATCCCCACCCCAATAGCAGCACCTAGTGGAATCATACTTGAAAAAATGACACCATAGACGATGTATGCCGATAGCTGTACCTCACTCTTTAAAAGGCTAGCTCCTAACGCGAATGCTGCAAGACTTTCATGCGCTACCATGGCAACTAGGAGATAGATGATTTGTTTGATGTCTTCCTGCAAGCCTAGGGCCATCCCTTCAAAGACGGAATGAACAGACAGGGCAAGGAGAAGAATAATGGAATGTAGAAACTTTGTGCCTCCAATATTACCATAATGACTGTGTCCGTGTGAGTGGCCATTTTTTGAAGTGTCTGGCAAGTGACTGTGGTTCACTGCCCTATTTTTGGATTTTCCATTAGGAAGAGAATTACTCTTGACACGAGCCTGCGATGGCGAGGCAAATATAACGTCATCCTCGTCCTCTTCTATAGTTAGATGAGTGTCTGTTTCATTTTCCAATTGTTGTAATTGCACATATTCCACAGTCTGTGCAGCTTTGCGAGTATGTGCTGCTGTGACGGCTTGTTCCAGCGCTAATATAAGAAAAAATCCCGCTATTACTACAGCCTCGCACACGGGATAATCCGTCACATAGTTGCTCGCTGCGAAGACTTCATCAAATTTGTTCCTGGCTGATGGAATGAGGCCAAGGAAACACGTAGCCAAGAAGACACCGCCTGCTAAACAGTTGCAGAAGCTGCGGATCTTGTCCGAGCGTTCCGTCTGAGCCTGGGACTGGTTGGCTCGTCGCCCGAAGACTTTGAGAGGTAGTAGAGCACCCAGCAGAGTCACCACGAAGACGATGAGCATGCAGACGGCGAGGAGGATCTTTATATTGGTCTCCATGGTAACATCTCAGAGATTAGTCAATGCTAACCTGTGGAGAGTGTAAAAGAAGGGAAATAAACATTACTATTTACAGTTGTGTTTTTTTATTTATTATGAGAAGAAAACAAAATCAAATTGTTCAGGTTATGCAAAGAGTCATCTATCTCAGCACTTCAACTTATTACAACTTGATACAAATACTGTACATTTACAAGTCTGAAGCAGAGCCCAGAGGTTCATGGAGATTATGACTTCATTCGGCTTCGATTAAAAGCAATATAATGCCCCATTTCTAGAATTAGAAAGCAGAACTTAGACGTACAGCGGCGAAGGAAGCGATGATGTCCTGCATTAGGAATTAGCTGATTATTATTTCAATTCCCCTGGCAGCTCTGACTCCATCGCTACTAGACCGAAAGCTTCAGTCTCTATAATCGTCGGTTGTTCCACTGAGACTACGTCTGGCTCCACTAGACCTCCGGTTATAGTGGAGCCAGACGTAGTCTCAGTGGAACAACCGACGATTATAGAGACTGAAGCTTTCAGTCTACATCGCTACCTGCTTCGCAAAGAGGCCATGACCAGAAACTCCAAGTGCCATTATGCCGAACACAAGTAGGTCTACTACTATACTGCTAAGGGAACTCTCGAGAACGCACTGCACTGCCCCCAGACCGCCGTCACCTGTAGCTCTCTGTCACGCTTCGGCGTCGGACCCTGGAGCTGGAGTTAATTCTAAACTAGACGATAAATCATGTAGATCTATAGGCCTAAGTCTACTTTTAACTTTCAAGCAAGTAATGAAGTATGTCATGAATATTATACCTACTGTAATAATCCGTGTTAATTCATCATGCCTTTAATGGATGCCGAAAAGGTGTCGTCTGCAAAGTTATGATAAATAGATCTGAACAGAGTCTTGATAGAAGATGTCACGTACTGGCACTGCACTGCACGGCACTATGTTGGACTCCAATCGCGATACGGCCAGCGATGCGCTGCAGCATCAGCTTTGTTTACGTGGTGTGACGGATTGGGACCCGGAAGAGATCCTTCAATCAGCTGTGCATGTGCAAGACAGAGCTTGAAATACGTTGTGCAATATGCAGGCTGGCGAGTGGCCGGGGGTGTTTGTCATAGATCAAGCTAAGTATTTGAATAAAATAGAATATCCTTGTGATGCGTGATTACATGTTTATTATCTACATGAAAGAGTATACTATGAAATCATGATTCATATCATAGATATATTACAGTATTTTATACATATCTTATAATTACAAATTATGAGAAAATTAATCTTCCATGCCCGGATTATATCTCCCAAATGGATCAGTTTCTTTTCAAGAGCTGTAACCATTAACGTTAAGGTGATAATATCGAAAACATGGTGGTGAGTTTTAAGTGCTCGTGAACATCTAATTTTTCGTTGAACTGTTGGATTTCTTTTGCTGACTGGTATTTAATCTTTAATTTTGTACCTGTTTCTCTTTATTTTCAGCGCATCGGTTTACAAATCAAAGCAAACTTGGAGAACGTGACCAATCTTGGTCCCGATGGTGATGATTTCCGCTGGTACTTGAAGGTAAGTTTGTGGTCCCCGGCACGGGATGCCCACGGGGCACAGCGGGGGCAGCTCCTAGCTCCTCGGTGCCTCGCTCACTCAAACCTCCAGAACTCAGAGACAGAATTCAGAATTAGAAATAAGAATCAAGTTGGAAGCCCATATCTATACGTTTTGCTCTTATCTCTTCATAAATCTGTCCCAGAGCTAATATTCTCAGTCAGATTATTTTAAGTGTGTGTCATGTGCTGCAGTCTACTAAAAGTCTAAAATAAAGGAGGAATTTTTGTCTTTGAGTTTGACTTTTCTTTGAAGTTTGATGCTAATGATTAATGAGTATTGTCATGTCATGTCTCTGTTCAAGTGTGAGGCTGAGGCTCTGGGTTGTTTGATGTCTGATGATTCTAATATGTAGATCTAACTCTTAACAGTTAAGCAAATAAGCCATGTTATCACATATGTACGGCCTAGCTAGCTAAGTAAGAAGACAAGGATGGTCATTCAAACTTGCATAATTAGAATCCCTATTTTGTACTTCTGGGGGCCTTTTTTGTTGTTAAAAAAAATTGATTGTCATTTTTCCTCCTTACATTTTTTTTTCTTTCTTTATGACAAATTCATATTGTATAAGCTTTAAAAACTGACTAAGACCTTTAAAGAGATGGTTCATTGAAATGTGGAAAATGGGCAAATTACACCTCTACAGATTGCTGAGAACATGAACAAAATGAGCAAAGTACTTTTGAAGCCCTCACTGTTGTGATGAATAAATTAAATGCAATTGTGTTACCCTTTCCTGAACCCACTCACTAAGTGAATTGACGGCGTTATTTTACATGCGAAACGATGACGTCACAATATGAACAACCTACATCACACATTCGGGACAATGTTGGATACCCATTGCAATTTTCAGATATGGGTTAATAATAATAAATAATAATAATAATAATAATAGTGGGTTCTTGTATAGCGCTCATGTCAGTCAGATTTGACCCTCCTGGCGCTCCCGATTATTACCCTGGCTTTAGCACGTTAACGTTGTTTGTATATTTACCGCCAGTGCATGGTGATATTTCTTTCTGTTTTTTGGCATTTTGAATGAGATACACTGAATAAATGATACTTTCTACAAATGAACTTTTTTTGATTTTTATATATTTTTCCGTCACATTTGAGCATAAAAATCGGAAAAATAATCACATTCTGAGGGCACTTCAGCGTGTATGTGTCTGATCTGGGAAGGCAAAGAACATTTTGCAAGCTGACCCAACGACTCTTTTGGAGTAAAATAGGCGATAAATTTACATAGAATTGTCCAAATATTCATTACAAAAATGTGTGATTAGGCTGTTTAATTTACATTTTTGATCAATTAAGTCGTAGAGGACCTGATAAACCGAGAGAAACAGATCAGTCCGGTTCGCGATTCACGGCTAGCTCGAGCGCCGGGCTACGGGCTAGGCTGGCTAGCAATCTGCGCTAGATGTGATGCATGCATATAGAGAGGTCAGTGTATTGCACACATAGTACATGTATGCACAGAGTAGGCCTACGCACGCACAGCTACCAGCTACGGGAAACTTGAACGCTACATCGACGATATATTTCACTCGCTTTTTGGAAGTTATATACCATTTATCTAGACTAACGTCAGATTAAGAACCAAAACCATGCCATGGAGGAGCCTTCTGGAGTATACTCGAGTATGTTTTCGTCCATATCCATATTTCCAGGGGATTTTGATGAAGGTAAACAGCGTTAGGTATAAATGGGTACGGTACTCGAGAGTCAATGCAATACATGTGTATCGCACGCAAACTGCATCTCGCACCGTCGTCAATCATTTCAGCTGAGCGGCCCGCTGTTCATATTGTGACGTCCCTTCAAAAATCAGCTGACTTACGATGTTTTGGGGGCGTTGAGTGGGTTGATTTTTCGTCAAGTTCAATCCACTTTTATAAATTTCGCTCGAATGTACAAGTTACACAAATGTAATGATTTTACTCAGTGTAATTTTTCGATTGCAATGATACCAAATTCAGTCAAGTTTGAAATCAATAAACCATCTCTTTACAAATGCTGGTAAGTTAAAACTTAAAAATATCAACACTTTGGTCAGTTATGAAATGTTGTACGTTTTTATTTTTTTCCATTGTAGGCCTACTGTGATTTTTGTGAAGACTAGGCCTACTTCAGATATTATTTTACTGTTACTTTTGATAAGTTTCACATATATTACGCAAAAATAAATTGTAGATCTAGTTGAAATAACTTTAAAAAATTATGCTACATGAACTTTATTGTAAGGGGTTGATAGTATGGGCTTTTTACATTTAGCCAGATCCTGAATTAGTCTAAACTTTAAAAATGAATGATTTGATCTATACTTTTTCACTCATCAACACATCTTAATTACTATATTGAACATTTATTGAAAGGATTTTGTTACGTATTTAATTGATTGATACAGTTATCACTACCATGTAATTATCTCTTTTCCCTCTCTCAATTTTGTTGTTATAGATAAAATGTAGCAACTGCAATGAAGTAACAGAAACCTGGCAATATGTAACCCTCACAGTAAGTATGGATTTTAATTGCCTGAACTAAGCATATTTTACTGTAAATTAATGAGTGCTTTGTCCACACACCATTCCTGCAATTCATGACACTCCTTGTAGTTACTCGCCTCACCTACCATCCCAGTATAGCTTTCTGGGTGAGCTGCCAAAGGGATTACCCAACCAAGTACCAAGATGATTACATAAATACATGCGATATATGATAACGAACGTTTTATGATATAATATAATGACTGTGATGTGGGTCTATGATCCAGCCTATCACAGCAAGCTTTTTATATTGAGGCAAGATCATTCCATACTACCTACAGACTAAAATATATGTGATAAAAAAAGCAAGCTTCAAAAGTTGTGAATGAGTATAGACTTGAAGACTCGAATTCACAAAGGAGGTTGTCGACAAATCTTGGTTTTCGTACGTCATACGTGTTTGACGCGTTTTTACACGTTTTTTACAAACCTGGTTTGTAAAAACAATTTACCACAATGTACTAATGTAGATATATTTGCTCATTTGAACCACACAAACACAAACTGACTTTTCTTTTACCTTTTTCTGTAGATTTTAGTTTATTTCAATATACGTCTTTATAGCAGACATGAATTACACCTAGTCTGTGTCCTAGTATAGGCATGGCTCGGGCTCGATCCGGAGAAAAAGAAAAATCAGTCAACATTATCGGTCATATGGGACTGGTCCTTAAAGCATTGTGATTGTTTCATGTACATTAAATTATGCTGAGGTGTGTAATTTTTAATTTTGTACAATGTTGTTTTAAAAGATATTATATACCGGTAAATGAACTTGAACCATGTAACCATTGGCTTTTCTCTATCTTTTTAAAGGAAAGTATACCACTCAAAGGAGGCAGAGGTCAGGCCAGTATGGTGTCAAAATGCAAACTTTGTAGCAGGGAAAATTCAATAGGTGAGCTGCTAATATTTCTTTCTTTCTTCTTTTACTTCTCTTCTCCTCCTCCTTCTCCTCCTTCTTCTTCTTCGTCTGCTCTTCCTCCTCCTCCTCCTCCTCCTCCTCCTCCTCCTCCTCCTCCTCCTCCTCCTCCTTCTTCTTCTTCTTCTTCTTCTTCCTATTTTTCTGTTTTCTTTTATTAAATTTAATGTCATCTTCAATAATTGGTCTTAATGTATTTAATGAAATAATACATGTTATTTACTGGACAAATGTACACAAATGGTTTTGATTGTTTTATAGCTCATCAATTGCTTACAAATGAAATCAATATGTTTAATTAGCATAGTTAACTTGTCCCATACCAGAAATTAATGGCATTATATATTGTCCCACAAGTAATATTTGTAAATATAAATGATGTATAACTCAGGTTCTGTAACCTTTCATTGTTTCCGATCATTCTGAACCCACTGCTCTGAACCCACTACTTTTAATTAATATGCCTCCTGTTTGTTTCACTTTAATATCTATCTACTTGTTTATCTATTCTATTTGCCTTTTATTTATCTATTTCTCTATTTTTCTCTTTCATCCTCCTCTCTCTTCTAAAGATATTCTAAAAGATTTCATCAAGCCATATCAGATGGAGAAGAATAATCAGTTTCAGACAGTGGCAGCATTTGACTGCAGAGGAATGGAACCAGTCGACTATTCATTCAGGGTATGTTACAGACCACTGCCTGGACGCGTCTTTTTTTAAAGTAACCTTGCCATCCTACCGCTGGATTTGATCGGCTCAATAGGAACCTATTTGCATGCGCTAGTAATGAATATTCATGATATGCACATACACAGAATCTGATGCGATAATTCATCAAATAATGAGATTTGATACAAATATTACAAGTGCAAAGTTATGTTTACTTAATAAAATAAAAGATATTGCAAGAAAATCAGGAGGCTTACCGTGAACGAATGACTACCCAGGTCGTAACTTGTCCAGAATCTGGCCGATTTAATTTTGATCTCCACCACACCGTACCACCGCAAATATTCATATATTCAAATATTAATATGCAGCGCTAGGATGGCTAGATTACTTTTAAAAAAGACCACTGCCTGGACAGGGTTTCCAGCTGCACACTGTATTATGCAAATTAGGGTCGCACCCAGGGAATGAGTTTCTTTTTTTTTTCAGTCAGGAAATTTGAAGGAAAATTATTACTGGTACTCAAATTTTATGGGGTCAAAAAGAGCATTTATCTATGGCCCTTAATTGGGCCCCAAACCCCACGCCGTAAAGGCACTTTTGTACATTTCACCCCTCCCTTTGGGAAAATCCTTGATCTGCCCCTGGCTATGGCAACTTTTTGACCATTTTGATTCTTGAATTTGGAGCCCCATCTAGAAGAAAACTATAGCATTTTGTTAACTGTATAAAATGCTGGGTACCTTGTTCTTTATCGATTATTTTCTACTATTCAACAGAAAACAGAAGTTTTCTACTTTTACTAGAAGCATCATATTTAGATGTAGATTTAGTATATACCTCTCCTGACTTGATTAGAGTATATTATACCAAAATTGCTGATCAGAATTATAATCGTAGATGATTTGCATTCTGGATGCGTCCTTTAGCGCCATTACTTCATCTCCGTGCCTTCTATCCACTTTCTTATGTGCAAAGTTTGTTTGTATAGTTTCCTGAAAAAATGAATTATGTATGAAGAAAAAAAATGTAATAACTTTTTTTATCTTTCTGTTGGAAATGAGATAAATATGAATATGAATATAATATATTATCTCATTTACATTCTTAACAGGCTGGATTTCAGGCAGATGCTGTAGATACTTCATCCAAGTTTTCAGACATTGACTTGCAATCAGAGGTATACCAAAAAGCATTTTGAAATTGTTACTTCCCTACTCTATTTAATATTTTTTTTTTTTTCTTCAATTTTTTTTTTTTTTTTTAGCTTTTTTTCTTCTTCATTATTATTATTATTATTATTATTACTTTTTTTTTTTTCTCTTTTTCTTTTCTTTTTTTTTTTTTTTTTGGGGGGGGGGCGTGTAGGGGTGCTGGAATTAAAGGCCCCTCATTTCATTTTCATTTACAGCTATTCCTGTCCAGAAAAATGCAAAACAATACATGTATGATGGGGGTTTGTGTGTCCGCACACTTGACAAAAATGCCTCTTTTGCCTCTGGATTTACCAACAAATATATATTTATTAGCGCTAACCTCTATAAACATTTGTCCTTTATCAATATCATATTGTCTAACATAATAAGTCTTAAAAGATTAATGAAATATTGCTAGTGAACTTCTTCAATGACTGTTTGAAAGAAACCGTCTTGATAACCAACCTGTCTGGGCACACTACATGACATGTATATGGAACTTTTTAGAAGTCAGATTTAAGAGCTGTACTTGCTGCTCTTCATTTTATTTCCACTCTAAAATCATGGAGAAATTAATTCATTGTTCATTTATAATTCTTCAGTCTTGTGCCTTGAAGAATGGTGCTGACTTCTAAAAAAATAATTTGTGTACAGCTAGAATGTATGAAATCAACCTCAAAAACTTTTACTTTGAATAAATTACAAATAAATGGATATCAAAGAACAATCATAACATAATATTATATCTTAAATAAAATATGTATTTCAAAGACCTTTCATTTCTTTTTGGATTGTTGTTTATTCATTTATTTATTTATTCACTTTTGCAGGAATGGGCAGATTATGATGAAAAGAATCAGGAGGCTGTCGGGATTTATGAATTGGAGAGCAAGTTTATCAAAGTATGACGGTTATTGCACCATCTTCTTCATACTGAATGAAACGGAACAGGATTGAATCATGCATGGCTCCCAGTGCTCATGTTTACTGACATTAGAGAATCATGGAGAGAAAAAAACAATGAATCCGCTTTCGCAAACCCGACGGAAGGCAAAGACGGTAACGCGAGTGAAAGAACAGTCTGCGCATGCGACGGAAGAGCTGTATTGCTGTAATTCTCCCATCGTCTTTGCTTCCGTAGTGTTTGTGAAAGCGCTTTATTGAATGAAAGTAGTAGCAGGATGATCAAATGTGATGTGTAAAATCCATCTTCGGCTTTACTACTCTTCGAGTGGCTTCTGTTGCATCACGCGAGTGTGACAGATCTTTGTACGACATTCTATTGATATATGTCTTGCAATCACCTAAACTCTCTGTTTTAAAAAAGAACAATGTTGATATTTCCCCTGTTAAATAATGCTTAATTAGTTATTTTATAGTTGTTTTTTTTTTTATTTATTCATTTTTTAATTCAAATTAAATGGATTTATTAGTAAAGGCAGGTCAATGCATCAAATGCAGACTTGCCACATCCTGTGTGTGTGGCTTGTTAAACTGGAGAACACATCAAGCTTGTTCACATATGTCATAAACCATTTTTAAATTATTTTTTTATGACGTACTATGTGTACTACATTTGTGTATCTTATAACACCCAGATAGGGAGTACACATAGGATCTTTGTTGCACATTACTACTACTTTTTTTTTTTCATCCTCGCCTGCTATTAAGGTTTCTTGTGTCATTTGTATGTGAACAAGCCATTTATGTAGGTGAAGTTGAACAGCATATGGAAATCATGTATAGAACAACATAATCCATTTGTGTAGTCCAAGCTTTAAATGATAGGTTTGAATTCACACAACATCCCAGGTCTGTTGTACAAGATTACAAGCCAGCTACATTTTGGAAGTAATTAAATTTTGTTGTTAACTTTTATGTAGTACATGTATTTATTTTGTCTCTTCTGAACAGTCAGTGAGATGGTAGAACTCCTTTTACCTGCCATAAAATGACCTGAATTTGAGATAACGGTTTTAATGTGCCCGAGAATGTGTCCGACTCGTGGCTATAACATGATCATTGCCAAAAATGTCAATAAGTTAATACATGTAATTACATGTACCTGCGCTTCTGTACCTTCTTATAAACAATTCTTAGTCATGTAGTACGGTAATACCGGGTACTCCCATTTTATTAACTCAAGTACCTATTTGTTATACATGTATTTGTTCACCTCTTTTTATTTCTTCCCAATTGAAGTTTTTTTTGATCAGTTATTTGTATTAAATTGAGACAATACCATGTAAGAACACTAAAGTTGTAATACAAGTTATTCTTTGTGAGTCTTTCAATTCATTGTAATAACAAATCTGGGGGGTGTTTCACAAAGACTAAGATCAACTTTAAGTTGGACTTGACTACGGCAGGCCTTTCATGCCACTGTTTGCTCTCAACATGAACTGACATTGGTCTCTCAAAGGATGTACAAATCATGGTCACAAATCTACAGAATTTACACATTTGGATAATACATTGTTCAAGGAAAATATATTATCTAAAGATCATAATGGTGAGAGCAAACAGTAGCATGAACGGCCAGCCATAGTTAAGTCCAACTTAAAGTCAATTTTAGTCTTTGTGAAACACCCCCTGGAATGTTTAATTTGAGCTCTAAAATGAACAAGGACTTGTAAAAGTTACTACCTTGTATGCAATATCCATGTAAGTGTACCAAGATATCTTGGTGGTTTGATGGGTACAGATTTGGAAGAATCAAATTCACAATCAAAACACAGCATTATATTAGCCACATTATAAAAACAAATGAAGTCATATCATTTCATATTGAGTTTTATTTTCTTTCTGAAAGAAATATACACATTTGTGCAATTTGAACATAAAGTCAGTTCGTAACATCACATACTGAAATCTGTAGTGTTTACCACAACCCCAACAAAGGCTACTTCGGAATTTCATTTTGTAGGGTCGAAGTTGATTGTATTCGGGCTTCACTCAATTTTGTGTTCACATGTCAAACCATCTGTAGAGTATTACATGGTCCCCTATTAATATCAGAGGTTTGGGGGCTAACTTGGGGGGCCCATGTGCAGTGGATACCTGTTACAGACGAAACCTGCATATGGGTACATTACTGGCTTAAAACATGTAAACAGGCAAACATTTGCTTTCAACAATCAGAAACAGGATTAAAATGGTGCACCCTTCCCCCTGCATTGCATGTGCATGCAATAAAGCCACAAGCTATGGATCTCATGGTGATTGTCGGTTTTGAAAGGCACATGGATATAGAAAACATTATTCATATAAGACAATGTATTCAAAATTTCTTTTTCTGTTTGTCACTACAAAACAACACAAGAAGAATAGGTATTCAATAAATAAATAAACTGAAACATACATTATAGAACAGGTATAGGCATTTCCAAGCCCACATACACGTACATTTGGATGAAGCACTCCCAAACCAAGAAGACTCTACATCTTTAACATAAAATCCATAAAAACAACCACAAACTTAATCATCAAAAAATAGCTAAGTAGGGCATTGCTTTAGGAAGTACATTCCCTTATGAAGAAGAAGAAAACAACTTTTGTGTTGCAGCTCTGCAATCTTTTTCACAAAAGTTTAGGATATTAAAATAACCAAACAAATCTGAACGCTTCACTACTTCCTAATTTACAAATAGTTTCTTAAATGGACCTAAACTGTTAACTTGCATTATGTTATTGGAAGACTCAAGTAATTGGGATAGATGCTCTTTGAGAGGAAACATATATGTATGTACCTGTACATATATTTCGGTGCCATGCCAGCTATGCATATCCTTTTTCAATAAAATGTTTCAAAGTAACCAATGATTTCTTCTATTTCAATGTAAACTTGCAGCTTGATCAGGATATTTGTGGCATAATACATGTTATGCCTGGCAAGAAATAAAAACAGGAATGCGGATGGGGCATTATGAATTGTCAGAATACATTCTATTTAGTTGAGGCAACTACATCTTAGGAGTATAGGTCATGATTGTCAATTGTACAGTGTATATACTATGTATCTGCAATTTTTCTATGAAAAAGGAAAACAAAAATAAATAAATCCAGGAGTCAGTTCTTTGCTCTGCACATTGTACAAACAAAATCCAAACATGAAAAATAAGTAGAGCACATATAAAGCTTAAACTACATGCAAACAGGAAGTGCTTACCAGTAGAAGCCATTTTAAACAGTGCTACTGCTTTCTGGAAACACAAGGGGTTTTTACAATTGTTGAAACAGGTTACTTACTACAAGTATACTACTTTAAAAGTGCTCCTTCCTTCCAATCTATTTAAACTGCTTCTTTTCCTCATCACACACATCACAATAGATCTCTGTTTTTATATAAAAACAGCAGTATCGAAAGGGTTAAGAAGAAAGGGTATTTTAAGTTTACATCAATAGTATAATCTTAGTACCGTAATCCTAATGTGTAGCTCTCATACACAGTGACGGTTGTGCAGTGGTGTCTGAAAGTCAGCAGTGAACAAAGTGACAGGTTTTAATGTGACACAAGTATTAGATCAATAGTTCATAATTTCTTCAAGGAGTGTAAAAGGCACTTACTTTTTCAAAGAAATTAATTTACTATCACATTTCTTGATTTTTTTTCTCATAACAATTTGCAATGTTCATGTCAAGATGTCAAGATGATATAAAATTCAACCATCATCTTCATATTCAATGACTATTTCTTCATCCTCAGTGAAGGCTGCATCGTTCAAGGCATCTGTGTTATGACTGTTCAAAGTCAGCTTTGGTCGGCTGTTCTGTGATGAGGTCATTGAACTCTGGGACCTAGGAATGATGTCGTCAAATCTAATCATCATCATAGTCTTCAATGACTATTTCTTCATCATCTTCTTCATCCTCAGTAAAGGCTGCATCGTTCAAGGCATCTGTGTTATGACTGTTCAACGTCAGTTAGGGTCGATTGTTTTGTCTAGGACCTAGGAGTGACTACATCAAATCTAATCATCATCATAGTCTTCAATGACTATTTCTTCATCATCTTCTTCATCCTCAGTAAAGGCTGCATCGTTCAAGGCATTTGTGTTGTGACTGTTCAACGTCAGTTAGGGTCGATTGTTTTGTCTAGGACCTAGGAGTGACTACATCAAATCTAATCATCATCATAGTCTTCAATGACTATTTCTTCATCATCTTCTTCATCCTCAGTAAAGGCTGCATTGTTCAAGGCATCTGTGTTATGACTGTTCAACGTCAGTTAGGGTCGACTGTTTTGTCTAGGACCTAGGAGTGACTACATCAAATCTAATCATCATCATAGTCTTCAATGACTATCTCTTCATCATCTTCTTCATCCTCAGCGAAGGCTGCATCGTTCAAGGCATCTGTGTTATGACTGTTCAAAGTCAGCTTTGTTCGGCTGTTCTGTGACGAGGTCACTGAACTCTGTGAGCTAGGGAAATCTTCCTCCAGGCTTGCATCGTCGATGTCCTTTTCATCAAGCTTCTTTGGCCATTTTCTGTACAAGATTTGATAACAGAAAAATGACGTGTTATAACTCCTTGAAATATATAATTCTGCATTACAGCAATATGCCACTACATGAGGGCTATTACTGTGTCAAATGCTACGTTAAAAAGTATATTGACATTTACATGTGTAAGGTTATTGAGAAGATTTGATGACCTTTGTAAAATATTATTCAGTTCTTTTAAAATTTGAATAGTCTGAATTTATCAAAATATGTTTTATACTAGATTATTAAATTGAGCTTTTGACTCTCATGTAGTTTGCAATAACTATTTTAGTTCCAATCAAAATATTTCACAAACAAATCTTGGTAAATTTCCTTTAAGAAATCCTTTCATAGAGAATTTCATAAATTATCTCATGATATCGAAGAACACAGAATCTACCAACCTCATTTGCTTCCGATTTGAGAACCTTGTTACATCTTGGAGAAAGGAGAATTGTCCTATAGAACAAGAAAAAATGACAGACATAAGGCAATAAGTTTTAAAGGAATCTAAATATTATCAACTCAAACATATACATGCTAGATGAATTAAAATGCATAACTTGACAGTAAATGCTTTGTGAGATATAGCTGCACTATGACTATGTCTTGCTGAATCTTTCCAGCTTGTTACATAATTTACATTCCTTTTTTTTAAATTCTTCTACTCTTTGGTAATCATTCATGAAAAAAGAGTCAAGTTTAACACTAACTAATCTCTAAATGAAAAACATTACAGTACGTATTAACCCTATTTAGCCCGGGGGGGGGGCTTGAGAAGCCCCCCCCTCGACATTTTTCGCGATAATTTTTTAACGCAAGAAAATCTTGCACTGAAATTTTGTGACTTTTTTCTTTCGAGTCTTGCGCAACTTTTGAAAGAAATTTTTCGAAAATCGGACCTACCATTACAAAGTCACGTGTCCTTTTGTCTTCGCATGTCAGCCCGAAAATCGCTCATTTTTGTGATTTGTGTAGAAAACATATGGAAATCTCATTTTTCAAATAAAGAGGTAAAACATTGGTTATTTGGTATTGTTTAGATTTTAGGTGTTTATTTTGGGGTCAAAATAGTTGAATTATAGTTGGAAATGAAATAAAACAACAAAAACAATAAAATACATAAGTTAAAAAAACAAAGAAATACATAAGAAATTATCAAAACAATAGATAACATAAGGAATAACCCTGGTTTTTCAAATTTTTGTGTTGTATTATTATTCCAAATGGTCTAACAAATATATGTAGTGAGAAAGAATGCTTAAATATGAATAATGTCTGATTTATGGGCAAAAATGTGAATTTAATGACCTTATTTGCATAAATTACCATAAATATACAAATGAGTGAATTTTTCAAAAAAATTGAAATTACCATAGTATTCTATACACTTCACTTGACATGTATGCAAATTTTCGCGGCGATCGGGCGTTTCACGGCCGAGATCACAGGGGGGGGCCTGAGAAGCCCCCCCCTGGGCTATGCAGTTTCAAAATAGCCCGGGCTAAATAGGGTTAATGGAGAAATCTGAGCAAAAAAATAAAAATTGATGGCATTCTTCTTCATACAGTTCTGTGACAGTATTTAATTCATTCATTTACATTTGTTTTTATATCTTACAATTTTAAAAGAGAAAATGCTGAATTTGGGATTCTAGGTGAAATTTACAGGGTTGTTTCCCCTTTGGCCAGTGGCTATCTGGAGCCCTGCATCAATACTCATTAAAGGGATTGGGTAACATTGCCTCAGATTCTGAAATGAAATCCTGAATTTAGGTCATGCTGCAATCATAATTATAAACCTTGATGTCAGTCAGGAATCCCATGACTTTTACAAGCCGATTGCCTGTCTGATTATCAAGATATTTATGATTGGAAATCGAAATTCCATTTTTTGTTTTCCTAACGGTTTTTATAACACTACAGTCTATTGGGGAAAATGAGTAGGACAAAAACGGTCATTCAAAGATTTTTGCTTTCTGGAGGCACTTCATGATCATTTTGAAGCGCAGTTTGTTTAGGGCTTCAATATTACACCATATCATTGACACTGATAACATGTAGGGCCATGCATCTCAGATTTAACATTGTTAAACGATACCTTTAACAAGCACAGAGATCGAGTAAACTCTTTGACCTACCTGGGTTTTTGAGAGGGACATTGATTAATGCTAGGTAAGGCAAGAGCTGAGTCTGAAGATCTAAAGGCGTCCAGCAGTGACCAACAAACAGTCCCTTGGCAGCGGCACAGCTCTCTCGATACTGATAGGGATTGATTGACACAGATTTCAAAATGTCATCATTCTTGTGTACGATTATAAACGAACACCACATCTTGTGTTCTGAAATCCAGGGGGGTGTTTCACAAAGACTAAGATCGACTTTAAGTTAGACTAACTATGGCAGGCTGTTCATGCCACTGTTTGCTCTCACCATTTACTGGCAATCGTCTCTCAAGGGACGTACACATCATGGTCACAAATCTACAGAATTTACATTTTTGATATGATAATTCATTATTGAAGAAAAATATCATCTAAATGGTGAGAGCAAACAGTGGCATGAAGGGCCTGCCATAGTTAAATCCAACTTAAAGTCAATCTTAGTCTTTGTGAAACACCCCCCAGGTATCATTAGGATGTTTCCTTATTATGGGTATCAACAATCATGGACGATCATGGAAACCTTGGAAGTTATACGTTCAAATCACTTTGTGAAGCCTGGGAAATGGTAGAAGGACAAGCTTTTATTCTCATGCTAACACATTTCTTGGTTTGTCTATATATCTCTTATTACAAGCAAGAATGTATTGTTACAGAAATTGGATGTTCGAGAATTTTAAAGGGAGGTCTGAATTGGGAGACGAGCTCCGATTTGGGCAGGGCTTTGGGGATTGTTTAAAAAGCTTGGAGCTGAGGTAGATTTTATGTCAGACCAGTTTTGAGAACTTAGAAGGAGCTGGGAAGATGTAGCTCGGGAGCTTCCAAAGCCAAAGGGCAAGAACCCGTATGAATGCGAGTTAAGTAACTGTAATTAGGTTGTGGCAAGTAAATATATTGAATCTCACCTTCATTTTTCTTGTGAATAAACATCAGTCATATAAAAATCATTGTTCGATAACTCCTTTCAAATAGAGACTGTAATTTATATGTGTTTGTGACTTGGCCCTGGCCTTGCGTGAGCATTAATTTAGGCTAGACTAAACTTATACCCTGGAGTCTTAAATTCCCCATGTTCTTATCAAAGAATTCCCAAAACTTATTGCAGTATGTTGTACATCTGTGTTAAAAAATAATGTTTGTCTTGCTTCTGATGAGAGACAACTCTCCTGCTAAAAATGCACTGCAATTAAATTCAACAGACATATTGAACGTTGGTTGGTTTGATTGTATTACCTGACTGCTAAAGAAAGCATGTGTATGCTTGTACGTAAGCTACCAGGGGGCTGACGGCCTGAAGTGCTAATCGAGGGACTAGGTAATTAGGAGTAATGCCTTGCCAAACGCAATAGCACATCAAATTGGTTTCAAACCCAGGACCTCCCACTTATTAGAGACCACTGCTCTACATCTGAGCCATCGCACCTCACTTATTACAATACACAAACTAGCAAATACAATTCATTTGTTGCACAATCAATTCCAATATAGTGCACATGCAATAAGAGAGCGGCTATGAATCGTACCTTTCTTGAGACTTCGAACCATTCAGGTTTATGAAGAGGTTTCCATCCTCCTCCTCGACCCCCTCCTGTTCCTCCATCTTGGCTGCATCTGCTCCTACTTGAGTTGTGGTGAACCAGACTACGCACTGCTACAGAAGAGCTGTACTGCCGCATCGTCGTTCGATGCTGTACAGGAAAAGTCAAAATACACACAATAACGTAAGGGGTCAGAAAGGAAGTAAGGACTTGGGATTCTCTGGTTTTATTTGGGCTATTGTCTCATTGTCATTCCATGCTGTACACAACAAGTAAACAAATACAGTCATAACAACAAAGTACAAACAATGATGGTACAGTAGTAAACATTCACAGAAATCTTGCAGGATGTCACAAAATAAACACAGCAAATTTGATTAAAGCTGCTCTTCAAGAATAATCACAGGTGCTATCAATGTGAATAATTGAAGAAGCATTCTCTTCACTTTAACTTAAATATGAGAATCATAAAAGTGTGCATATATCTCTATCATAACCTGTTTGGGAGAAAACAACAAAACATGTAGTTTCCAGGAAAGATTATGTTGCTTAACATGTTAAATGTAATGGAAGTATTATTAACTTACTAATACAATTTTTAAATGAGTGATAGATGCAGAATCAACAAGGAAAAAAAGGAAAGCTGAAACCATGACAAGAAATTAAAAAACAGCCACAACATAAAGTAGAAAGTGATGAGAGATAACTTACTGCCCATTCACACGTGAGAAAATCAGTGTCGCTAAGATATCTGCTGCCCTCTACAACATCTTCCAGGTCAGTGTAGAAGTCTAAGTAGTTCTGATGAAGGTACAAGGTGAAGTTCTCACTGCTCATGTGTGTTCTTTCAATAAGCTCCTGATAGGAATATATGAACAGCATGAATGAGTTAAAGATAAACTTGAGTTCTGGTAAAAAAAGAAAATGAATTCTCACAGAATCAAACGAAACTTACACTGAATGTTCAAGATTACAAATAAATGTCATGTGCCAAACAATCTTGGAAGAAAATGTATACTGGCTGAGTAATGAGCATAGAAAGATAAGGAAATCAAGGTATAGTAGCCCCGACAAAATTTGTGTAGTCCCATATACATCTTTCTGTGTACAGTGCTTGTTACTTCTAAGACTAGGCCAAATTTATTATGATTTTGATGACTTCAGAACCTTGCAGTACACACCAATACTTACATGCTACGTACATGATCGACTTTTTCTGATCCATTCCACACCTTTTCTTTCACAATGCAATCGCATGACCAGAACTCACCTTTATCTTTAAAGACGGAACACATTCTCCCCATAAATATGATAGTTCACTGGATACCAAACTTTTTTGTTTTATCACTTGTTAGGGGGTTGGGAAATCTGCAATTGATTGTGGTCGTATATCACATGGCTACAGGGAAGAACAAGTTCTTGACTGACGAAATGTTATGTTTCGCACCGCACCAGTAGAGCAGTGGTCTCGCAACAGGGAGGTCCTGGGTTTGAAACTACCTTTTGGCAAGACATTAATCCTCATTACCAAGTCCCTCAGAGAGGAATTAAAGCCATTGAGAGGAAATGTTATGTTTCGCATCACATCGGTAGAGCAGTGGTCTTGCAACCGGGAGGTCCTGGGTTTGAACCAACTTGATGCGCTTGTGCCCTTTGGTATTAAGACATTAATCCATTCCTCATGACCAAGTCCCTCAAAGACGACTTAAGGCCATTTGTTGCTTACTTTAAGCATACACATGCTTTCATAGGAGTCAGGTAAGTAAAACAGACAAACATACAAACATTTTTTGTGGTCTTAGTTACCTCTGGGTTTATGATGAGCCTATCTCTATCATGATGGTGAAGATGAGGGGGCAGTACTGGGTCACTGGCTGTCTTGGGCTCTCCTACAAGTGGAAGCACAATACTTGATGTCACACTGGTTATTTTTATTTAGCCCAGAGGGGTGTTTCACAAAGATTCTAAGTTGGAATTAAAAATTATGGAGAGCCATGTGTAGCCATGTAATGATCATGAAATCTCCCATGATAATAGAAAATATGAATGATTTGAATCAACATTTTATACCTTTTAAAATAACTTATACACAATATTTTCAAAGATGCTAAAAGCTTTCCATAATTGTTAAGTCAAACTTGGGATCTTTGTGAAACACCCCCACCCCCTGGTGTATTGAACATTATAAATTGCACGATTTCAAGAGCATGATATATCCATTTTGTACAAGTGCAAGAACTGGTATTCAAAAGAAATCAAAGATATATTCAACCCTCATAATCATCCATAAAAGCAACCCTCAACATCATTTTTAAAAGTTCATATATTACGCTTTTAACTTCTGACACTATGCATAGCATGTAATCCTACTTCCAGGACTTGTAATCTGATTGTGTAGATAGAGGCATAAATAATGAAAAGATGCCAATAATCAACCACTGAAAGGTTATTTGCTAAACAAACATAACTTACTGTTTTGAGTAAAATTAAAGCAGATGTACTTCTGCTATACTTAGACACACGCATATATTCACTATAATCAACAGAATCAATGTGTACAGATTAAAGGTAATACAAAGTTTTGGGATATTTTGAAAAATGGGTGGATAGTGAATCTTTACAATTTTGTTATATTTGGATGCCCCTGTGGATGTATTGTAATCACTAAAAAAATTAGCCCCTAAAACTCTTCTGTTTTCGAGAAAAATTGAATATAAAAATTTACCGGTGCTCCCGGTAAATTTTGATAAATTTCAAATAGCGCCTATGGCCGTACAATGGTAGCTGCGACCATGAAAATCTCAGAATATGTAGTTATGATACATAATTTCCAAACGGGAATAGCTAATCGGTCGATTTTAGTCAAGAAACATTGTTTCATAGCTAAATTGATATCTTGACCTTGAGAGGGAGCTATACAACATAAAGAGTTTATTAATTATAATTTCACAACTTTAGACTCGATTTCAACCGCGACAACGATCAATGAATATTGTAGGAACGCATATGCTTCCGAAATTGTTAATTTGAACCAAATTCATGACCCCATACCAAAACTTTGTAATACCTTTAAGGCTAAACAGAAACAATTAGTAACTAACACCTCTCTCTCTCAAATACATCTCACTACCCTCATCCTGTGCAGGGCTCCAGTTTCCAGTGGGACGTGTTCATTGGTTATATAACTTTTATTACTGTAATATGCTATACTTAGACACACCCATATATTCACTATAATCAACAGAATCAATGTGTACAGATTAAGGCTAAACAGAAACAATTAGTAACTAACACCTCTCTCTCTCAAATACATCTCACTACCCTCATCCCGTGCAGGGCTCCAGTTTCCAGTGGGACGTGTTCATCGGTTCTATAACTTTTATTACTGTAATATGCTTTGTATTGTATTATTCTATTATTGCAAATTATGTCCTGATCTTAACTTATGTGTATTTTACTTTCTTTCTTGAATTATACCTACAATTATACAATTTCCACACAACTGGGCCAGGAGGTCATTTTTTACAGACATGGCGCATTATAAATGTTTATTATTATTATTATTACTGAGCAATCAATGAGTATTGATAACTTTTCTCCAGACACCATCTTTCCCCATAGACAAGATCCTGAACTTACGTTTACAATAGAGAACCTTTCCCAGCGCTCTGAAAAGGAAGAGTGAGGTATCTCTACCTCCGATGGCCGCCAATCTCTTGTCTTCTTTGTCATCCTTGCTTCCCCTGGCCTGCTTCCTTCGATCTTTCCACTGACTGCTACCTATCGATGATGAGGAGGATGATGAGGAAGGGGTCGATGACCATGATGATGGCAATGACGAAGACTTTTGTGATGACCTTTGGAGACTGTCAGTACCTGTACAACAGAAGAGGATTTAAAAACCATAGTGACAACTCTATCAGTTTCAACTTGAAAGGAAATAATGATTTATTATTCATAATTATCCTTGTTTTATTTCTTTACATTTTGTTATCCTATATTCAAGATAAACAGATTCACCCAAAAGCTCAACTTACAAAACAATCTGAAAACTGTAACTATTATTTGATTCTCAAAATCTTTTTGCAAACACTATACCCATAACAAATTTAGCACAGTGTAGCCTTGTAATAGGTAAAAATTCATCATCCCTACTATAAATTGATACACTCTGTAGTAGTGTTTTACATTTCAATTGAAAGATCAATATGCTTGTGCCCTTTGATACAGCACTACATGTACTTCAATTCACAAGACCCTAAAATAACCAACTATGGTCAATTTACCGCTTTTATTTATTTTTTTGGGGGGGAGGGGTATCTTTTCAAAATTATTTTTCAAAGTGAGAATTCCTCAGAGATGTCTTTTATATTTCCGTATGCTCTTTATCAAAAGCTCAAGTTAAGCTATCTGACGATAAATGGATAATCTATTCCCACATTTGTTTTTTCCAGTGTTTACTGAAAAATACTTGAAATAAACATGAACTGTTGCACAAATCCATCATTGTAAAGTACACACCTTTTAGACATGCAAACTGGAGGGCGTTTATAGCACCTCTGATGTCACCAGAGCTTGATGCTGCTAAGGCTTCTATGGTAGATTTGGAGGGAACATAAAACTTATGTCTTGCCTGTGGGAATGAAAAAAAAAATTGGTGTTTGATTATAATATGAATATTTATATCGCGCCGGTTTACGCCAGGCTCTGACGCTCATGGCGCTTTACACATATTATCCTGGTTATAGCCGAGCTGCTAAAGTAACTAGGGCTCAAGCATATCAGGCACCCATTTTTACCTAGGTTTGAGAGTGGCAAATGTAGATTAACGTCTTGCCAAAGGACATTAGTGCCAGCAGTGGGACTTGAACCCTGTATCTTGTGATCTGCAGTCGGGTGACTTATCCAGAAGACCACAACACCTCTACATCCAGTTTAATCCTATCAAGCATATATCATGTACCCATTTAGACCTGGGTGGAGAGTGGCAGATGTAGATTAACGTCATGCCAAAGGACATTAGTGCCGCGATTATAGAAAAACATTTGCTGAGGGGGGGGGGGGGGGGGGGGGCTAGGGAGGGGCAAACAATTTCAAACTATAACTTGTCACAAAAATACAGCACAAATTACTTTGGAAAGAGTTGCTTTGCTTTTATATCCAATTCACTATCAAGGATAACCCACACCTGATTCAGATAAACTTTTTACGAATCAACTTAACACTGTCACCAAAGCTCAAATAGACTCTATAGACTCTAAACGATTAAGCAGACAAAAGAACTGTGTCATGAAATAATGAGTCTAATGTGAATGAAAATAGTACCTTTGCTGCTTCTGCTGTAGCTATTTTCATCATTGTCTTGGTCATGCTGGTCGGTGCGACTGGATTGAAACTAGGAAGAAAGAAAAAAAAGAAAGGAAAGACTTATATGTCAATGTTTCATTAAAACGGCTAAAAATTTAAATTGGAAGGCTAGGGTGACTACATCACATAATCTGAAAACTGTATTAAAGAAAAATATCCATTCAATATTCTTCAAATATTGCCTTCAGAGGTTTAGATGGCAATACTTCAACCTAATTTCGCAAAAAAACAGAAATATATGCCCAAATGTTCAATGTTGAGGTGCATTCGCGATATCTATCTAGGCCGGATCAATATGATAATTTACCAAATATATCAATTAGTAGGTGGTTTCCACTTTTTTCACTTGTAATTTTCCAGGTAAACAGTAAATTCAAATGATATGTAGATGTATATACATTCTGTTACCTACCTAATATTGTGGACAGCCAGGTTGTCTTGAACATCAGATGGGAAGAGAGAAAGGACATTAGACTTTCCACCATGACTATCACTCACAATGAAGACAAGAGGACTACGACCAGTGTGGCTGAATCGTGTAAGGACGGCATGAAGGCTGGACGGATCACGGTAGAATGCATTAGGCATTTCCTAAAAATAATAACAAATTAAACAATTTCTGTTAAATAAGTATAATAATCAGTATTAATAGCATGGGCATCTTTGACATTTACGGAGAGTAACTTTGTTATACTCTCTTGCTAGTGTTTTTTTTACTCTGATTGTACATGGCAGTATGTTTTATTGTTTTTTTTGTTCTGTTCTTTTGGTCTTGTTTCTTTTTTCCTGTATGTGTGTGTTTTAGGGGTAGGTTTTCATATAAGGAATCCCTCCTTTCTGCCTATCCCAAATGCTCTCATAAATTGCCATTGTTATTTTGTTATCACTATCTTGTTTTTTTTTATCATTCCATTCTGTATGTGTATTTTTTTTAATGTTTTTATGGAGAGTGTTGAATAAACTTTTAATTGAATTTGAAGGTATATAGTGTGTTCTACAAAAAGGGATTCAACCTTGATGCTGATAGTAGCATTTGATAAATCAAAGAAGATAACACATACCAGAAGAATAAGAGCTACATTTATCTTCCATTATAGGAGAAGTTGATTCTATGTCATCAAAGTAATAATTTAACCATTCTTGTTATCCTTTACATCCTTAATCATTCTTATTGTTCTTCCACAAATTTGAATGAATATACTTCCCTGAATGTCTCTCATACATGTATCTGTATCTTTGGTTAGCCTTATAACTTCCTTTGAATCTAATCTATTTATGTTGTACTTTTGACACATTGCATGTTCTTCTCACTGCAGAAAAAACCCTGAATTGTTTCACTTGTAACTATTTCATTCAATTTAAACAATCAAGAACATTTTTTCAATAAATTTCTGATTAGAATGTAAACAATGAAAAGACTTTAAAACTTTATATCTACTCTACAATACAGTAAAGCAATGTAGTACTGGTCTTGGGATTCACAAATTGTATCCTCCTGAAAACTTACTTCAACCAGCACAACTTTGTTAGTTCTCTCCTCCTGCGCTCCGACTAGACTCAGAGCTGGGTACCTGTTGGCTCGCTTCAGAAAGTCCTGGAACTGTTTAACCTGAGACTCGTTTTTCACATAGAAATCTGTGATCAAGTCATGATAAAATACAATGATCAATTTACAAGAGCAAAGGTCCACACTAAAAAGGAGGGATTGATTCCTTCTCATTTTAGAGGAAAAGACTTGAATTATGAGGAAGTATTTGCACCTAGAAACAACAGAATTTGAAATGAAATGTAAGCATGTAATATAGCTCACATATATTTACCTCATCTCTACTTTGACAAAGTTTTCATCATCTACCAAATACTAGAGCAGCCTACATTCCAGAAGCAAATGACTATCATTAGTGAGTGATCTACAAATGTACAAGACCACAGATATGTAACAAGGTCGATATATAGTAGAAGGTTGACTATGAAAAGATCCCTGTGTGTTAATGGCCTTACCAGATCGATAGTCTGTGTCTTGGTCCATCTTGAAAGCTTCTGTGATTGGGTTGGACCATTCCTGTACCTCTAGACCTAGTTCCTTAGCCAGGACAGTCAGGGTGGCTGTCTTACCTGCTCCTGCAGGTCCTGTTAGCAGCAGCAATGGGGCTTTGGTGTGCTGAGAACACAACACAGAACAAAAACAGAGAAAATAGATTGGCTTCTTGTATAGTTAACTGCCACCCAGGAAAGCACTATTATACCAGCTTTATCTGAGCCACTCGTAAAAAGGCAAATCAAATATGAACTGCAATTCCTGGCCTTTTAATGTTTTCTTACTTGCTGTTCTACATAAAAACAGAAATGAAAATGTTAGCCCGTTGCATAGTGTACATGTTCAGTCAGTAGTAAAGTTAATGGCCTCAAAGAATAGTTCATCAAATCATATTATAAGACAAGTTCAAGCATGTAGCTGATGGCAAACTTGTATTCAAGTCACACGTTTATGCTTTAATTTTTTGTCCATAATGCCCGGCTATGCAATTTTTGTGCGGCAGCTTTGCAAACTCCATGCAGCAACCTTGATCAACGTATCTTGATGCATTATAAGATCAGACGCGGTGTAATAATGCATTTTATTTCATATGGCATGACAATGAACACAATGAGAAGTGCATTGTACATACATGTGTTTGGCTGCGTCCATGCTCTGTATGATGAGAAGTCATCCAATAAAGCAAACGGCAGCCTCAATGATTGTGCTAGTCTTGGCTTTTTGCTCGGGTTTTTAGTCAATTTCTCAACTTTATACTCAAATTGTAGACCTGTCTCATAAAACAAATAAATGTTTTTAGCGCCTGCATTTAATAGTGACATGCACTGCACTTGGTTAAGTCCTGGACTATGAACTCTACAAGTCTTGTTCGTCTCATTCATTATCCTATTGTGACTTAAACTTCTTGCAGTGCATATTCACTCTCTTATGATAGTTCTACAACAGATACTCCAGTACCAATTGCTCGGCGCTCCATTCCCCACACTACTAAGCAAACTGCTGAATTCAACCCTAGACTGAAACACTTTGATTACTAACTACTAACCCTACCCTAAAATCCAATTGCAACCCCAATCTTACATCTTCTACAAAATAAAGCCCTGGGTGCACATTACTGGAGGCAATGTCACCAGAGCAAATGTTGAGTCATCGTCATAGCAACTTACTGGCTTGGGCTGCTGTCCTCTTTGCTTGGTGTGAAAGGTCAACCATTCTTGGACCTCTTGGATCTTCTTCTTGTGAACAGCTAGATCAGCCTGAGAAGAAAGGGGGGGGGGGGAAATGGTTGAAGAGAAGTGTGTAATTTAATCACACTTTTCCTTTACATTGGCTTTTGATGAACATTGTTTTGATGGTCTCTTGGTGAGGGAAGAGTACATGAACCCTTCATCAACATTCAAGTCTTTAATAAAAGCACATCTGAAATGAGACTAGACCCTCTAACCATTATTATGTGTGTCACAAATGCATGTTATTTAGCAAAATAGATGACTAAGAGACCATCTTTTGGACAATGTCTACATACATGTATATACCAGTACAATGAGTACATACATGATAATGATAATACACATGAAAAATACCACAAAAGACAATGTACTATGACGTTAAAAATTTAGATCTCATTCAGATCCAGAAATTACAAACCATTGGAAATTGGTTCAAAGGTGTTTGCAGCATTAACTTCATCAACACAACTACAGGTTTGCGAATACCAATATAACAGTAGCAATGTCTTCTCAAGCGAAACTAGATTATTGAAAAGATAACATCAAGGGGTCAGTGACACAAAGATGTAACTCCATTTTTAGAAAAGTGGTTTATGTGTCACTGAGCACTTGGGCCTTAAGGAGTTAAGTCTATGTTTCACTAGCCATTGACTTCCATGGGGTGTTGGGTGGAGTCAAGTCTTTGTGTTTCCTGGAAAGGCTACATTTTTCTGAACATTTTGATATCAAAATACTCATTTTGGCGAAATATGGATTTACGTCTTTGTGTCACTGAAACCTCGATAAACTCACTACTGATTGAGGTGCATGTCTTTCAGCCCATGTCTGTCCTTCTAACAGCTTCTTCTTCTGAGACCAGCTCTGTGTCTTCCCTCCTCCCTTGTCAGCTACCCTCGGTCTCTTTCTCCTGTCCTGGCCTTTACTGGAGGGACCATGCTTGCCTGAACTATGACCCTTGGCTTTTGAACCAGTGCTCTGCTCCTCAAAATCACCAAACGATGAAGAGACCCACTGCTGCATGTTCTGCGGATAAATGAAGACAGAAGCATTAACCATAACTCTTCATATAAAAGTTGAAGGGGTGGAAGTAAGAAAATTGTTGATGTCAGTTCAGTGAGAAAGGGCTGCCAGGTAACGACAAGGTTGAAACACTCCAGCTAAGCATAGAGAGTCAACGCTAATGCATACTGACCTCTAACACTGCACTAGACCTACATTAGATCTACGTGTTAATAATTATTAATCATTATTCCTAAGTTTCATTTCAGGTGTTCACACTTGTACAAGCATTGCTTTTTAGTGGACCCCTCTGTTTCCAACATTTATTTCTTAAATTTGTTTTAAATGCTTATAGGGTAGCGTGCTCAGTAATTGGTCCATTCCCAGTATTCGGTCAGACAGCCGTTTCAACAGCTGTAACAACTAAAAAAATAATTTATGAGCCACGAAACTTGCACAAATCAGGCAGCTGAACAACTTTTCTTAACTCTCAAAATTAAATCGGATTTAGGGCCCCGGAAAGTTCTCCAACTAAGCTCGAAATTGGTCAGTGTCGCACAACTTTCTGCACTTCCGCGTTCTGTTAGCCCATGCGCTAACATGCATAGCCATAATATGTAGAAGTCTATTGCGAAACAACTACGTGTGCTGTCGCAATGAATTTAGTATGAGTGTGAAGAGAATCATTTCCACTCCATCGCAGCGAATTTGCAAATGACGCACTTGCCGATGTACAAGAGGTTTTATACGATACCCTTCCCATGCGGTATCGCTCGTCCAGTATTCGGTCAACACATTGACTTTCAGTGCTTTATCGCGCAATTGTGTGATAATAGTGCGCAAATACACTTCGCTCCTTGGCAACGGAGATACCACGCACAAATCGTGTGACCAAATTCTGGGCAGAAAAATGCTTCGTCTTCTTTCGGAAGTGTTTTGCTTATCATCATTCTATATTTTAAGTGACTATGAAATCCTGTTAGAGGATTAAATTTCTTTTGATGGGTAGATTGCCAAATAGAAGAGGTAAGAATTCAAAATATTAGCAATTTTCCCTTAAGTGACCGAATACTGGGCACTCTACCCTGATTGATTTGTAATGTTTTGTTGGAAACATGAATAAATTTGAAATCTTGAATAATAGGCAGCATTTGAATACATGAAATTATTAATAGTCAATAGACAATACACTCATAACACACAAATGCGCACAATCATGACGATGCGGCTGATCGGCAAGTTTGACAGTGGAATCACAATTTGAATTTTTAAATTATTCTTTTTAACATCGGAAAGATGAAGAAAAAAATTGTATTTAACTGCTGCTTAAATGTAGGTGTCATTAATGATCAATCGTCACTATTAAACTAAATTAAAGTAACGATTTTTTAGTGAAATCAGTTGAATTTTGTAGTGTCAGTGGTGTTTGAAATGTTGAGAATCAATAGCACCAGAGCATAGCTTTTAATACACAGCCAGGATAGTAATGCACATAGAGTCTATGTGTGGGTTGAAAGGGATGCGATAATCTTCTTCTTCTTCTTCCATCATGTCCATTGTAGTACATCCCTCTAAAAGACTAGAGTATTGTCGTAGACTAGATCTAACTTGTTACTTAGTCTCGCTAATTCACTCTCATTCTCATTCTCACTCTCAGTCTCAGTCTCATCCTCAGGTAAAAATTCATGGTCATCATTGTCTCAATTCTCGTAATTATTTTTGTACCATTGTCTGATTGATGTATAATTTGATCCAACATTACAAGCTCCAAACTAAATTTAACAAAGGAGTCCTCGACCCAAACCAAAGATCGATCTGTCGTTCATGACGTTAATTCTAGTCGCTAGATACGCATTGTCAATTACACATTATATTAAGGTAGTCTCCGGTCATCCAAATAAAAGTTGACAATTGATTTGAAAACACAACACATAAAAACGATCGGTCTATCCTTAATAATAATATCATATTCATACCTTTTAACAGTAGGAGAAAGTGGTCATGTCACAGTACTTTACTCCACGGGGAATACAATACAGATTCAAAATTGACGCCACTCAGCTCAGCTCAGCTCAGTGAATCTACTCGAGCGGTAATGCATACAGCATGCACACAGCAGTACCGGTACAGTAGTAGTGCTAGCGTAGCGTAGTACCGTAGACTACCACTGTGCATTGAACTGAGTCTTTTTCACTCAAAAAATTAATATCCGAAAAGTAAAATTTGGTCTGGCGCCATCTACGTGCACCGACAATCGATGTCAAATCGGCACATTACTCCCATTGCACAAAGTGCCTGGAAACATTATAATAAATTATGCCCTTGCATGTCTACTTTCATGTTTCTAAATTTACGCGTGAAAATAAAAATCATAATGGTAACATCACTACTCTCCTCTTTCTCTCATTCTATTTCAATGTTTTCTGTTCTCTCTGTCTCAGCTCTGTGAAGTATGTCCCTCGTTCAAGTCTCTCTCTCTCTCTCTCTCTCCATCCCTCCCTCCCTCCTACCTCTTTCTCCTCTTTCCCTTTCTCCCACCTCTCTTTCTCTCTTTCTCTTATTTTCCTGATCATCTCGAATGTATTTCACCCCTTCCATTTAATGAGATCTCTCGTCTGAAACTTGTCATTTAAGTGTAGGTCTATCATCATCATCATCACGACCACCATCACAACCACTACCATCGTCACCACCACAACCACCACCGCCATCATCATCATCATACCATCAATCCTCAATCTCCTCCTCATCATCGTCATCATAATCATCCTCACAATCATATCCACCACCAACATCACCACCATACACCACACCACCACCACCATTCTCATCATCACCATCATCATCACCATCATCATCATCATCATCATCATCATCATTATCAGCATCATCACAATCATAATCAATGAAATCCATTTGAATGTTTACTGCATCTAGAATGCTCATCATTATCATGAATCAACAGTTTTATCAAATGTATTCCAATTTATTCACTATAAATCTCACGTATTATACTGTTAAACATCATCATAAAACATGATACAAATTTATTTTCAGTCTTTTCTCATAAAGCTTGTCGGGCCTGATGAAATAATACTTTTATACTAATTTATATGAATTCTGATAATACTTGATAAACTCAATAGCAATATAAAATCCACTCTCCTGCTATTTTGTTCTCAAAAAATGGTCGATAATCTTCACGGTTATCCTGTTAAAAAAGTAAGAGTTGTCTAGTACAATAACTGAGTAATACATTTGTCACTGGACAAAATTTAGCACCTTTGTATTTTTCATTAACCCGGTGTAAAAGCGAAAATACTTATTCATCTCACTATTGTTCTAGATTATCAGGACTGCCTGTCATGTCAAAAGTCACCGCGAACATCATTCTGTCTCCTACATTAGACGGGTGTTACTAAGGCTAGTTGTTTTAGTGGGTTTAATCCGATGATGGTCCGGTGGCCGTTCATGTGTTGGTTGTCTGAGAGACTGAGACTGAGTCATAATGCAGCAAATTTGCTAATGAATAATGATGTATGTATTATAATGAACATTATCATAATTCATGATAATACGATATGACAGTTACGCGACTAACTCATCAACAGCGTAGCCGATATTCTTTTTTTCCGTAGGGGAAGTGGCATGGGGGAACCCGCTATCTAGGGGTATTACGAAAACACCTCTGTGGTGGAGTCTTAAGTTATTTTTCTGCCGTTACATAATTCTGTGAGCGAGCGTAGCGACCAATCGAATAGGTGCATTCTTATAAATAGAACCGAAACTTGGCATTCAAATGCACTGCACAACAAAAACAGCGTACATCTTGGTGGGGGGATTTCTTCAAAGTTTTTCATGGGGTGGAGCATTAGGGACGGACCCTGAATTTATTTACATCGCTGTTTACTAATTTAGAATGTTCATCAGTTTATTGATCATCTTCGTCTTCCAGAAAGTCTTTGTTGTAAATATTTATCACCATCGTGTTCACATGGTAACCTCAATCATAATTCATCACCATGAACACTTTGTTTGCTATCAAAAGTCTGGATGTTCTTTGTAGGTTACCATGGTAAGTGGGTGTTCACAACTGAGGCTTTGGGTATCACAGAGTGGTAGTCTAAATGGAAAGGTTGTTTATATTTTTCTTTTGTCAAAAGAACCATCAAACGGGTGCGCGTTTAGATTAAAAAAAAGTAAAAGTAAAAGTTATAGGGGAAAAAAGAAAGGGAAAGATTATGATGATGAAATGGAATTGAATTCAATGTTTAATCGTAGTATTTGATATAAATTCATGTCACTCTATCTTTTCTTTTACTTTTCTTTTACTTTTCCGTAATTCCTTTAAATGCCCATAAACAGGTTCTCTTGACAAAATGAAAATATCAACAGTTTTCGCACTGATGCTACCACACGGTGTTACAAATACCCTAGAGTTTAAAAGATCAAACGTTTAATTCAGATCATAATGACCCAAACGATGCCGGTTGGTGTCGGGGTAGGCCCGCTACGCCCTCCCCCTTATGTTCTCGTATTGGAGTACTTCGATACTGATTGAATATACTATCACAATGAAAGCAATCACTCGAGTTGTAGAAATATTTGTACAGATTTACATAAATAGAATTAGAAAGGAATGAGCTAACTTGATAATGATAACAGTATAGATCCTATGCTATGGAAAATGTTAGTAATTATGATAACACAAGTATTAAATAAGAAATAATAATCCTTTCGGTATCTTTATTATTCTCAGCTTTTCTTTGCATCAACCTCATTCAACAGCTCGCGTATTGCATTTCAATTAAAAGACACAAGGCAATTTCTTTTCATTTTGTTACTACTTGATTGATATAAAATGCATTAAAAAGTCTGCCAAGAGGCAGGAGGGCGTTTACTCTGTGTAAAACAAAAGGCCAGGATCTAGCGCCCTTCTGTCAGCACATGACGAACAATACTTGTATTGCAAAATAATATGGTCAAAGTCATCTACATCATGATACCTTATATATATATATATATTTCAATTCCTAAAGAAGTGTTTCATCTTGGTCCTGAAGCCAGTTCATATGACTTTCAAAGGAGGACATTAAATGTTCATTATCTTCTGTGATTTTGTCATCCGACTCGTCGGCGATGAAAATGCTGCACTCATCGGCGGTTGGGTCGAGTGGAATCGTAGTCGAGGAGAGGGGTGGAATATTCATCTCTTCGGCGGTGTTCTGGGAAGAATTCGATTTGGTGCACGTATCGGTGGACGACGAGCAACTTTGCATGGACATCATAGACGATGCCGATGACGAAGAAGCACTACCGCGCTGGTGATCGGAAGTCGTATGAGAATCTACCGAAGATTGTTCCTCTTCATGAGGGATGTAGAATGAAACAGTTTCAGAAACCCTAGTTCTTTCTTCACCAACTGTCGTGGCATCTTGCCCAGTCCTGTCTAGAGAGTTCGTTTGGGGTTTTTGTGTCGACTGTAAATGCACATCCTCCTCCCCATCACCATCAGCATCCTCATCCATAGTCGGAACTTTTCCCGAATCGGAGATCGGGGACAGTGGACCCTGATGGCGACCGTGATCCACTTTGGATGTCATCGAATTGAAGCTGATTTCTAAGAAGTTGGAGGAGATGCTTCTCCTGGTCATTGACCTCGGTGATCTGCTCTTGATGACGGACCCATCCAATAACGGACCCTCTGGAAGAGCTTCACAACTTTCTGATTTATCCACTCCTGGGTTCTCCATGGCTGCATTATTGTTGTTTTCATGGTAGATTCGCCTCAGACGCTCAATACTAATCATCCCATCTGATATGTTCCTGCTATGTCGCTTCGACGTCGCCGCACCGCCGTTTAGCTCTGTCCAGCAAGGGGGCGTGGCAAACCCGCTGTGGGGAATCCCCTTCAGACCGAAATCCGACATCCTCTTCTGGAAGTTCTGCGAGAAACGACGCTCTGTCGACGTCATCGGACCGGTGATCGAGTGTCGGGTATCACATGCTTCGAAGTTCTCAAGAAACCACTTGGTCTCCTCGACGTAGTCGTACACGGTGAGGAGCTGGCGGGCGAGTGCGACATCTTGCTCTCGAAGTTCTTTCTGTACATGAGAGAGAGAGAGAGAGAGAGAGAGAGAGAGAGAAAGAGAGAGAGAGAGAGAGTATTAGTTAATTTCTGATTTGCACGTCTATACGTATTTTTGCAATTAAAACAGATTACCAAATTACCAGAACATGCATTTTGGACCATTTAAACCTTACCCCCACACAAGTTCCATTGGGATTTCCGTTTTAATAATTACCTTATTTATCCATATTTTTCCAACATGTGTATAGTACTCAAGTAGATAAAGCGTCAACATAACAATATACCGTTGGTTATCTTCTGAATATTTAAATCTGTTTTGACATCATCAACTTTACATTTGTTTTAATGGAGGAAATCAAGACTTGAACACTCTCTTGTGAATAGTAAGCATATAATGAGAGCCAGGTGGTCGACGTGTCCGTATACCCTCCAACCCCCCCCCCCCCCCCCCCCCCCCTCAATCGATTGAGGGTTCGGGGTGGGGTTGATATACAAACACATAATCTTTATTTTTTTTAAATCATTTATTTATTTATTTATCTATTTCTAATCTTTGGTCAGGGTAGCCCATTCACCAATAAATAGTGGTCTTCCATTGGGCCCTGAATAAATATGAACATATCAACATCAATTAAAGCATAACGTTTATACAGAACACTTAAAATACAATTCCATAGTACATTTAGAAAGATATAACACATCATACTAATAAAATAAAATAAAATATAAAAGGCCCCTGGAGTGGAGGAAAGCTTGCCTTCTAAATGTTAAGGTTGATAGAAGCCTAAACTACATGTTTTGATCACCCAAGCAATGAAAGATTTCTGTAAAACATGAAAAAAGCCCCTAATTCCTCCCTTTCCGAAAAAAATGGTTTATGCAACGTCACGTCATGGGCGGCGACGTGAAGCCAATATCGGTCCGTGTACTGGCAAATTGCTCAGCGGCGATTTCAAAATGCACTCTACCAATTACCGGTAAATACAATAATGGAATGTTGCAATTTTGAAAGATTGATTGACGTGATTCACCAGACGACCTGACACATTCACCCAATTTAGAATGGGTTCCGGAGAAATACGGCTGTATGAAGAGTCCTTCCCTCCCCATGCATGCCCTCACAGAGTCATAAACACACTTATCAATTTTCTTCTTGTATCGCATGACTATAAAAGCATGTATACCTTGACCATGGACCCTACCACGCCTTGACAAATAATATCCAGTAAATGAAGGAGGGGTCATGGGGTCATCATGACAAGATAAATGACATACATTCAATAATTGTTTCAATTTTTAAATGTATAGGTCCTGGAGTAAAGGGCATATCTATATAAAGCTATAAAATGTCATGTTATACTGCATGCTCTTTCAAGGCTTTTCCTCCCACTTTGGCATACAGACATGATTTACGAAGAGGGAAGTAGAGGCCCAACATTGTGAAGGTATAATAGACGGAAATCACATCCACAAAACTCTATCCTATATAAAAAAGGCCTACAGGCATGACGAGTAATTTTCGCTCCTTAATCCCGAAATCCCCATCTACTATGACATGGGAACAAATTTCAGGTCACGGCGTATATAATTACGAGAAGGCTATTAGTATTATGGGAAGTAAAATCCACAATTTACCATCATTTGTATTCCAAATACCTGTTGGAATGACATATTGTGCTCAGTCAGACCGTTACCATAATAAAAGTGCCTTTACCTGGATAATAATAACTAAGTTATTGTTGAGTTTGGCATCACACGTATAGATAAACTAGGTCACTTTAATGCGAGTATACTCCTGTTAAATCATACAATTATTTCTAAAGAGGATAACCTAACATAATTATGATGTCTGATTGATTTAACAAAAGTTATTTCGCAGGGCAGAAATAGGTCATATTCTATCTTTCTTCATAGCAAGTCACCCTCTTCCTTTAACATATATGTTTTTAATTATATGTTTTTAATTATATGTTTTTAATTATTTACACATATTTGTGGCTTACACCCAGTAAATAAGATCGATTGATCGATCTGTATTGAAAAACAAGTCAGAGAAAATCTAGGAACCAGCGGGACTTGAACCTGCATATACTGCTTGCCGGGCAACGACTCTACCACCAGGCCATCACTGGTCCATGGGACAGTCACGATGAACTAGAGTAATGCCCATGCAAGCTCTCCTGATTCATCTGACTCATTAATATTTATTAGTCCGCCATAGGACAATAACTTTTATAAATGTAATGCTTCCTGGGAGAAATATATGTTTTTAGTTTAACTGAGGGATGCACGCACATCTAGCTTCATGCTTACGCTGTATGTAGCCTTCAGATATATGTTTATCTTATGCAGGCGCGTACGCAGGGGGGGGGGGTGTTTGGGGGTTAACCCCCCCCCCTTTGGTTTTTTTTTAAATAATAAAAAGAAGAAAAAAAATTGTTCCCATGGCTGACCTAAAAAGGCGACCTTACCCCCCTCCCCCCCCCCCCCCCCAACGGAGCAAAATGTCAAATATTCAAATTTCGAGACCAAAAAAAAAGAAAAAAAGTGTCCTCTTACCCCCCCCCCCCCCCCCCCCCCCCCGCTGAGTCGTTGCGATTTTTTTGGGACCAAAAAAAAAAGTGTCCTCTTACCCCCCCCCCCCCCCGCTTATTCAGCGGCTGAGTCGATGCGAAATTTTCGGCCCGATTTAAAAATGTTAAACCCCCCCCCCCCCCTTGAAAAAAATCCTGCGTACGCGCCTGATCTTATGCATAATGCAATGAGCGTGTAACTTAATTTCTTATACCTTTTCTAATTTATATACAATGTCAGGTACTGTATTGGAAAATGTATCAAATGTAAATGAATGTAAAATTTCACACTGATACACATGAATATGTATTTTTGAAAATATGATGATAAAAAATCGATAAATAATTTACCAATTATCAGTTAAAACTTTAGCGAAAACAGGCACCTCGATCACTACGATAAAACCTGACGGAGCAAACAGTTATTTGACTCAACGGCACAGGCTCGGTCAGCATCAATACTAGAAGTATTGCTATATACGTAGCCTATAATCTAGGCGGAGTCCCGAGATAGTTTCTTTGCTGCTAGACTAACCTTAAGCAGAACGTCTGATACGGCGAGACTACGAACCGTGAGTCGCGAAGCAAGTGCGCGGCTCACTGTTCGTAGTCTCGCCGTATCAGACGTTCTGCTTAAGGTTAGTCTAGCAGCAAAGAAACAATCTCGGCACTCCGCCTAGATTATAGGCTACTATATACGAGGAGAAGAGCAAATAGTCAATATACAAACATACGGCGCGGAACCGGGAAATTCATGTATACTTTTTTTTTCCAGCTGGACTAACGGAGCTTCACGTCACGTCAAGGAGAGCATAGCAAAAATAGAGATTTTCTCAAGTTGGAATAATATTTCTTAAAAACTACTTGAACTTTATTTTGGCCTTACTTATACATACCGGGATTTAAATAATATTCAATGATATAATTTTAAACAGAGGCCTTTGTAAGCAGGGTGGGGGACGCGGAAGAAAGAAAAACTCATTAAAATAGGTCCATCTCGTATTTTTTTGTATCGTCATGGCTATGTGAACGTTGCGGGCAAACAAAACAATTCTGAACAAACAAATTACAAACAATCAATAACAAAAAAACCTAGTAAGGAATGTATGAACTAAAATGATAAAGATAAAGAGATGATGACGGATGCGATGACGATGATGATAATGCCAATGATAATAATGAAATACATGGATTTCAAAATAATCGGAAGAGGTTAGAAATGGAGGAGAAGGAGAAGAAGAAGGAAAAGAAGGAAACGAAAAAAAGACAATTTACGAGCAATATTATAGCTATCTATATATGGACATTACCATTCACAATGTCCATACGTTGATGGAGCGGACTATTATGACGCAAATGGCCGAGCTAGGTCATCCAACACACGAGAGTACAAACATGTATAGAGATCATCAGTTATCTCTGACACTTTTGCCAATCCGTTCAGTATTGAAATAGAAATGAGGACTTGCTGGAAATTCTCTGTCATTGAAATTGGAATGAAAACCATTTAATTTAGTTTCTTAGACAATAATGATCTTGATCATGATGATGATAACATTATTTGACAAAAAAACGTCCATGTTGATATATACAGACGTGACAGAGTCACCTTCTTTGCGAAATAATATCAAGCATGCATGTCGAAGAGTGTTCCTGTCCTTTTGTATTTCTTTATTTTTTTACATTTTCGCGAATACCATCGTTTTCATGCACGATGTGTACCCACGGTAAATTTACACATCATTAATGAAACTTCACAAGGTGCCTCGGGTCGAGAAACCGGAATATGGCGACCTGCAGTGTAAACAAATAATTCATCACAAGATGGGGATGTTTGATTTGTATTCGCAAATAGAGATAGAGAGAGACAGAGAGGCACAGAGAGACACAGAGCGACAGAAAGAGGGGGATGAGAGAGGGATAGGGAATGGAGAGGGAAGAAGCGGTAAAGAAAGAAAGAGTTAGACAAAGGGAAAATTATAGAAAGTTTAAGAGAAAAGGGGGAGAGAGAAAGATATATATATTGAGAAAGAGATAAAGAATGAGACGGACTAAAAGAAATATAATGAGAGATAAAAAATAAATAAATAAAAAAGAGAGAGATGGAACAAGAAAGATAGAATGAGTCAAAGATAGAGATAATTATTCAAAAGAAAAAAGAAAGAGAGAGGAAGAGAGAGAGAGAGACAGTGCTAATGCAAAAAATATATATATATATATACAGCCTTTAATGTTGAACCATGCCTTATAGCAAGAAGTATAATGCTATTTTTGCTGATCAAAATTTCCCAAAATACATGTAATTACCAATTAACCCAAGTTATTGCGGAACTATCTTACTAAATGTCTTTTCCCTATTTCATGATCTTTTGTCAATATGTCGTCTTGTTTAAATTAAAATTGATTTATGATACTTAACCTAAGATGCCTATACAATTTG